TGCGCACAGATGAGCAATACGTCAATGCAATTGGTCTAGATTTAGGGATCTAATAGTAAGAACCAATAATCGCTGATTACTCACTGAGCAAGCGCTTTTTCCACTGAACGCGCCCATTGAGGAATTGCTCAACTGTGCAACTGTTGAGTCTGCCGAATGCAGCTGTTAAGAACTGATAATCGCTGATTACTCACTGAGTGGTTTCTCCGCTGAACGCGCCCTATATGAAAATTAACCGTGTATACATCACATAAACACACGTAAATAATCGTGTAGACGTAATCTCAATAATAGCTTTATAGCACAACCCTGATATGCAGTATTCTTAAATGAATATGAGTTATATGGAGTTTTGTGCATATTTTTCAAGTATCAATGAAGTCTAGCAAAAATTTTAGTCACGGTGCGTTATGGGGAGAGCTACCAGCGCGAGAGATGCTGAAGCAGGAAGTGATAACACCGGACATCATAGAAAATGTTTGGCGACAAGTTATAGATGACTCAAACAATCCTGATTGTGACTACCGCAATGACAGGCAAACCGAGTACTTGCAGTAAGTGTATAACAGTTGTATTAACATGTAAAAGTATATTAATAATATAATTCTATTGCAGATTACCAATGGGAAATCTTCATGTACTGAACACCATAAATCTTCACCAACAACTACGAACGATGGTAAAACACTTGATTGAATCTTTTAACTCTGAAAATATGTAGAAAATGTGTCTTTTACAAAAATAGATTTATACTTTACAAATAATAGATGTATTTCTCCTCTTTTCTTTCTCTTTCACAGGAGGAAGGAACTGTGCTTGGAAATATGACTACAATAGATTCAAAGGATTCACAAAATCTGACAGATTCTAAGAATCTATTTCATTTTCCATCTCACCAGACAGAAAGGTATCTGTTGTAGTTTTAACTTATACTGTCACATTGTATAACATTATAATTAATTAATATAATTATGTAGATTTAGAAACAAATTTAAAGACTGCTCTACCATTCATCACTTAACACCACAAACAGCGCGAAACCTGTTGAAGCACAGTGTGATTACTTTGTTAGCCCATATTGGTTTCGAAAATTCATCGGATATAGCTATAGAAACAATCACCGATGTCGCAGATCATTTTCTGAGGAGGATGACTCTGTTGTTAAAAGTTGCAGTTGAGCAAAAAAATCATGGATTTCCTGTAAGAGGAAACAAATAAATACACAATAATTAATATATAATTAAAAATATATAGATAAAATATATAAGATATTTGCACGTACCATACTCTGAGATAATTTTGTGAAAAGAGAAAGTATATATATTGTTGCGATATGTTTCCAATTGAGATATATGTATGAATTCTTTTATTTATTATGTGTATATATGTGTGCACGTTTACACAAGACATCAATTTAATTAGTACTATCTAGACTGTATTCTGAAATTCACTGCAAGTACTAAAAATCTATACTTCATGTCACGTATACTATAGAATTTCAGTACTGGCAGTGAATTTCAGAGCACAGTCCCAGCCTATAAGTCTTGAACTCTTTTTTTCCTGTACAACAAATTTACATCTCTTAGGACATTATGGAAAGAGTGCTGGTAGAGACAAGTGTTGGAGGAGTGACTGCGCTGCACGACTATTATCAGGAGTACATTCTGAAGTTTGAAGAGAACATGAAAGGAAAGGTCGAAGAGATGATGGAGAGACAGAGGCAACTTGAACTTAATACTTGTAGTACTAAGTTTTCAATTGTACAATCGAGCTGTCAGTCATTTACACATTTACTTTTAGAATAAATGTTTGCATTACATCACAATAACGCGTGTCATAATTTTGTAGAATATTAGATGAAGCCGCCAGCAAATCACAATACGAAGAAGACAACAATGTGTATCATGAAGTGCCGACACTTCAGTTGCTCGATCCAGATATGGGTTTTCCACCCAGCCTGGACGCTGGCTTTCAGATGCTCTACAGTCTCGAGCAGGATGAGTAGGTTTTACGTACGGATGGAACATTGTTGGGCGACAAGATGATAATCTCAGTGCTTCTAGATTAAACAGTCTGGAAGTGGATGAGGAGGAGGAGGTGAATGTAAGCGATTCACCGAATACAACAGGGCAACGATCCGATGCGTCTGCTGATAAAAGATGTTAAGTTATTGAGATATGTATAAACGTTTTTACGAGATCTCGGGATAGGATCACATGGAACATATTTATAGCCGCGGTCTATGTACTCGTTATATTGTTTTAATAAAAACAGAATTTTAAATATTCTTTATAGTTATGATAAAAATCATCATGACGTCATAGTTAGCTCATGCTAATTGACAATAAAATAGTCTCCTGAAACTGTTTCATCGTAAAATTTGAAGATGAAACAAAATAAAATCATCAGTTATTGGAGCATTTAATTTCTTTTATATAAATTTATATGAATTTTGAAAGAATTTGTTATTAACAATACTGTTTGACAAAGGTGATGAGACATTTGGTTTCTAGCCGAGTAGTCTCAGATTCCACCCGACAAAAATAGTTTATTTTTATTGTTTGTATTTTTAAAAATAAACGTCCGTCTGGCTTGCTGTTGACTCGTACTACTTAATTAATGAAATATGCCCAAGTAATCATTCGTACCACGACCTTATTTTTTTTTTATTGAAATAAAGGGTGTACAATAAAAGTGTACAGGTTTAGGTACTAGCCTATCCGACCTCTAGATTACATACTAAAGTAACATGTTTTCTCTAGAATTTTATACATCTATTGCTGTTATACAATATATAAACTTAAGATCTAAATTTGATTATTTATGGAATAACAAAAACAAAAGCAAAAAGGATTTATTAGAACAAAGTAAACTTGGATTCCTTAATTATTCAAGCATCAAGTATCAAATATGGAATTCTTGAGTATTTTACCACGACCTTAATCTTTTGTGCATCTTACTGAGAGGATGGTGGCGACTTATAATGGAGGCTCCTGGAACTAATAAAAATAACGGATCTAATGGGAGATTCACCCTTCGCACAACATGGCAAATTCACTTGCACAAAAATTGAAAGATCACTTTTTGTCGATCACGAAAAATATGTAAAATTCGACGAATTGTAATTTCGTTAAAAAATAACAATAATGGTTCGGGACACACTATAGCTTGAAGTCTTTAGTTTTTGTCATACACTTGCCACCTATAAATAATTGTATCATCACTGAGAGACTTCAGCGCCGAACAACTAGCTTTCGCCACGCGTCCCAGAATCCTCTGTGACGCACATTGACAACACGTCAAAAATGGCAGATTCTTCACCCAGCAAAGCGGATATCGAGGAAATTTTCAAAAGACTGCGAGCTGTTCCATCAAATAAGGTTCGTTAAATTACGGTATCATTATCTAATTGTTAAAGTAGATACGAGAGAAATAACAGGATAATTAGTGCTTTGAGTCGATAGAATTTCGACGTCATACTGCCACTTCCAACCTGCAGATTTCCGAGGAATCTTTCTTCCAATCATCTAATGTACACGAAAGTGGGGATTGTCGAGTGTAGAGCAGTTGTTATAGTTTGCAAAGCGTTTCTAGGAGATACTCTTGAAATGCATAAAAAATATATTTTTATTAATGCATATTTCGCGTTTTGTAAAATCAATACTAAATCTTTTTTGTATTAGAATACTTTATATAGGATAGCCAAATAAAAGGAGAAGAAAGAGTAATAATGTGTTCATTAACAACTTCTTCTTTTAGACATGTTTTGATTGTAATGCAAAAAATCCAGCATGGTCCAGTGTAACATATGGAGTCTTTTTGTGTATCGATTGTTCAGCGGTGCATCGTGGTCTGGGTGTACATTTGACCTTTGTCAGATCCACCCAACTTGACACAAATTGGACATGGCTGCAGCTCAGGAATATGCAGCTGGGTGGTAATGCTAATGCTGTTAGTTTCTAAAACTTATAATATTAATATTTCTACCATATTGTTACACATCAGTTTATTACTTTATTATTATCCTGAAGTTCTTATTTATTATTTAATTATTATCCTTAAAGTTTAATAGGTATTTTAATATATAATTCCATACATTAACTATCATTATTATTATTTTATCACTACTCAATTACTTTTTATTGATATTATTATTGTTAACCACCAATAACATTACTATTAAAATAGTACTATTACTATAACATTAGTATTAAAATCAATAAGTTTTCCATCTAGTCTCAGCCCTATTAATGGTTTTTAGAGAAAATTCTTTGCGCAACACAATTGTACCTCAAATGATGCTCAGCAAAAGTATAATTCACGCGCAGCTATGCTATACAGGGAAAAATTAGGTCAAGCATCGGCTCAAGCAATGCATCGTTATGGCACGAAGGTATAATTACTGGATATATTAATATCTGTAGCATGTAATAGATATTACTAGTTAGATTTGCTGTAATCATAAATATGGTAATTATAGGTTTCTCTCCCTTCGCCAAAAAGTAAAACAATGGTGAGCCGAGTAAATATTTAAAGAAAAGCAATGCTTGAAAGTTTACTAATGTGTGCTTATAATGCTGTCAAAAATTGCTTCTTCCATTTCTCATAAACATATAGTTTCTTTTTCTTATATTTAATATCAATGCACATTTTAAGTGTTCTGTATGTGATAATCTACAATCATTCAGATATATATGTTACTTATGTTTGTTTACAAACGAACTCGTTGCTCATCGTAACATTGCGATCGTAACAGACTTCACTTCAAAATTATAAAGACTTCATTTAATATGCATACATATACATGTTATTACAATTTAAAAGCGCAACTTTACGTATTTATTTTAACTGTTGCTCATGATAATTCGGATTTCTCGATCTAATTGTTATTTTTACAGCTTCATCTGGAAGATGGCACGGAAATAGTATCGGAGGAAGCGAATGAGCTGGATTTTTTCAAGCAACATGAAAATTTAAATTCACATCAAACTGAAACGATAATTCCGACAGAAGAGAAGGCATTTCTCACACCTAACAATGATAATTTAGAGAAAGACGCATCTGAAATTGCCTCCAATTGTTTGGGACCTTCTGTGAAACTTTCTGATCCTATCTCAAACGCACAATCTGAGAGGAAACCTACCATAGGTCGTAGAATAGTGCAATCTAAAAAGACCGGTGTAAGTTCACATATTTGCGGTGGAATGGTGACGCCATATATCGTAATTATCGTTGTTTCTTGATTATAGTTGGGAAAAAAAGCCGGGAGTTTAGGCGCCCAAAGAGTTAAGACCAATTTTGATGAACTGGAGAAGAGTATCACGGAAATAGGTAAACAAATGCAAGAAAAGGATCAAGAGGTAACGAAAGAAGAACAAGAGAAGCTGGCCACACGTCTGGCTTACCGGTATGAGCAAAATTTGAGTCAGCAAGCAAAGAAAGTGGAGGAGAGGGCGAAGCAGTTTGATCCATCGAAGGCCGGACAAGCAGAACGACTTGGAATGGGATTTAATGTACGAAGGTAATAAATCTCTATTCGTCGTTCTCTGTAAAATTTACAATCTTACACGCGGGAAGTTTCGAGTGCAAAAACCCACGTTGCAAATAAGAAAAAAAAAGTTCGTAGAGTTCGTCTTAACAATCTAAAATGCCTGCATCCGATATTATTCATAACTACATATTTGCTATTTTTCTTAGTATCTGTTTCTTTTACTTTTCGTTAGCGGCGCGAGTCATTCTGCCCTTAGCGACATGAAGACAATAACACAAGAAACATCGTCGAAGATTATAACAGCCGTAGAACCTAGATCAAGAGACGTAGATGTCATCGAACGCGATCTTTTTGTGGGCTTAGATGAATTTTACGCGGTATACGCTAACAGCACCAGCAAGTCTTCGCGCGGCGAGGATATTGTGGTTGTGGCAGAACCGGAACCGCCGAAACGATTATTATCCTCGACACGAACTGTAAAGAACGACGCAAAAGCCTCCTCTACCGTCGAAGGAGAAGCTCAGAAGAAATTTGGTAGCGCCAAAGCCATCAGCTCGGAGCAATACTTTCAAGACAGTACTTCCGACGACTCGGTGAGCAAAAATTACAATAAATATCACGTCAAAACTTATTATTATCATCGTATCAATGTTTTTTTTTATCGCTATCGGTGCTCTAACGCAATACCGAGATCTCAAAGTTAATGAAATTTTAAAATGTATTGAGTTGATATATATAAGACAACGTTTATAGTATTGTGATGCAATTTTTTTAAGACAGGCAACAATGGTTATTATTTCAAAATTATATTTTCATATTCTACGACTTTATTCGAGAAAAATGACTAATATATATTTTATACGAATTAATTTATTATCTGTGATATTTTAATTTTATATTTGGCGATATCACAATGTGAGAATATCATAATTTAGAGAAGCAATATGTATTGCAATGTACGAAATATAATTTTTTATTATTCTTCAACGAAAAATTTCTGTATTTGCAGTGGGAACGTAAGAGTAATTTACGTCGTTTCGAGGGTTCATCTAGCATCTCATCAGCGGATTATTTTGGCACCGAAAACTCAACACCATCCTCGTCTTCGTCGTTATCTATGCGTCTCAGCGCGGGACGAGCTGGTGTCGTAGATCTGGACGATGTTCGAGAAAGTGTACGCCAAGGTGTAAACAAGGTTGCAGGCAGACTTAGTTCTTTTGCGAATGCGGCGGTTTCCTCTATACAAGATCGTTATGGGCTCTGAATGGTATCTAATTGCATTTTATTAAGGTTGTTATGACACTTATATCCGGACTGGTCCTGTCCATTGTTTGAAACTGTAAATAAAAGCTTACCCACAATTGAGCTTCTGCGTAACTCACTTTCAGGTACATATACATACAAACACACACGTATTTTTAAAAGCAGTTAAATCGGCAACGAGACTAACGCAACGTCGAGACTTACCACACGGTGATGGGAATGAGAATAAATACAATGTATTTTACAAATACGTTTGATCACTTTACAACGTAAAGAGAGAAAAAGAATGGATCTTTTCTCTTATATTACGTTATATATATATATATATATATATATATATTGCATAACAAATATCTCTATATCAAAAGTCGGATTACACCGACGCGCAGGAATAAAATAAGGTACGAATAATTTAGATAGAAAATAATAAAACATCACTACCTAAAAAGGTTAAGGATCTATACTTGATGGTTCTTGACAACGCAGGACCAATTGTGAACACGGTTTACCGTGGAGAAAACACACAAGTATCACTGTCATGTTATCACAGCCGGTGCCCATCAGAGCATCCGGTGCCAGGCAGTGATTTAAGAGTTCCTCACAAATCTCTTCAGGATATATGTTGTTTCTGGTAGTTTGCGAATCTCCCAGCTTCGTGTGGGCCAAACGCGTTCTCACGAAGTTAATCACTTCTTCGCTGGTCATCACATCCCAAATACCGTCACATGCCAGAATCACGAATTCCCAATCTTCGGTAATAGGAAACTGTTGTACTTCGGGGAAGGCTGCGACGATTCATCATTTTTAATGAAATACATAAAACTAAAAGTCACACACTGCTTCAAGCAATCGGGACAACATCATATTGTAAATGCAAAATTAATTTCTCAGGATTATTTAGACCTTTTGTGCTTAATCTATAATTACTATAGTAATTAGATTAAAATAATTAGACTTTCGTCGATGTTGTTAATATGATATTTCCACAACTTGAGTTGCATATAAAAAAAAAAGTAATAAAATATCGTGTTTCATACTGCATGTGATTAAAAGTATTTAAGGCTTCTGATTCATCGCTGCGATCATTTTGATTTATAACATCGAAGAATGAGGAAATACACATTAAAAATTCTTACAATATACATTTAAATAAAATGATATGTTTATAAAATGATACTTGCAATCGTTTGAGCAGACCCACAAAATAGTCCGAACACTTGTCTTTTAACAATCAATAAATAGTCGTAAAATTAACGTGATAAAATCATGAGATAAGGTAGATTAATGCTTCTGGATATTTGTCGCGAGTAAAACTTGATTAATGACGTCAAATTACATGTTTAATCGATTATGCAAGAGTCATTTTTTGGATATATCTTTTTATTTCGACGTACTAGGAATTTTGTGGACACGCATTTTTTCACTCCTAACGTTATTAATCAAGAATTCTGTGGCGAGGAGCCAGAAGCCTAAATGTATCAACCAGGACCCTTATTCTTGAAATAGTTGTGTATACGAAAGTTTTACTGCGCAGGTTTAATCATACCATAAAATAGCTGCGCAATGAAAATTATAATACGCAAAAATTTCAAGAATATGAGCCCAGATATCAGCTAATACGATAACGCGAAAAAACGATACTTTAATTGCTTTGAGCAGTGAATTAGAATTAATTCTAATTACGTTGTTATTACCGGTGACAATTTGTTCTTGCGGTGATTTCTGGTCGTTTCGCTTGAACATGAAATCCCCAAGTGCGCGTGACAGAGCTAGATTGCCGTTCACCCTCTTGTACTCGACAAAACCACCCGCGGCTTCGATCCGCGCGCGCTCGTCTTTTAGCGTGGGCTTGTGGTCTCGACTGAGAGGAACCGTTTTGCCATTGATGCTCGCCACCGCTCTGCTGTCACCTGCATTAGCCTATAGAGCTCTTCTTACTGGTCAGTGATTCGAATTAAAAGTGTGTCGTTGAAATAACGAGAGACTTACGCTGTACAGAATGTTATCTTTGACGAGAAGAGCGATGACGGTAGTCCCGGCTGGCTCGTCCTTGAGCGCGAGATCGTTCTGCATCGCTTTATCTAATTCCAGAAAGCCTTGCTGTATAGCTTGCACAATATCACCTGACTGATATTCACTTCTCTTGGTGATATATTTGTGCAGATGTTTCCCGGCGTGCTGCGCCATAGACGCACCTACGAGCATACAAATTTTTATTTATATTATTTATATAATTTATAATATAATATAGTATATTAAATTAAGTTGCAGATCTGTCGTGTTTGTTAAATAAAATGCAGAACAAAATTACCCAATTTCGAAAGACCAATCATTTTTACGAATAAAATAAATAACTTCAACTTATCAGATTGATGCGAAAAACACATTGTCTAAATAAATAAATAAATACGAGGCGAAATTAGTCAATTTTGAAGGATTAATTATTTTTGCGAATAAAATTGAACAACTTCGAATCAATAGGTTTCTAACCATGATTTCTTATTTTCCTTTCAAAGGGATGCTGGATACCAACGTAATGCAGTTTTGTAGTTTGTTTTTCTATTTGGTTGTATAGAATTACAAATATTTTTACAGATACAAATTCCAACACATGAAAAGACATTAATTATATATCTCAGAAGCTTATCTTTTATCATAGATCTTTTCAATAAAAGATGCTTCATGAAAATTCTAAAGTAACTCTCTAATAGTAAGTACTTGCCTCCATGTCCATCGTAAACTGCAAAGAATGCAGTATCTGGGTCATTGGGCAAGGAGAGTATATGCACATGCGAATCTTCCATTTTGATACGCCATCCTTGCATACAAGAGCTGCCCACTCGATAGTTAGCGTCCCAACAACAGGCTGACTTCTTAGTAGTTATCGGCTGACTCAGAGTCTGGCCCATTTTCGTTTCTTAACAAGTAACAAACCTTTTGACAACAAACCTATCAACATACCACTTAATAAGAGCCAAAGGTGTTATTTGAGTCTCAATTTACATAAACTTCATTGTCGCGCTACAAGTGTGTCTATATGCAGCAGAGGGAATTTCATTCACCAGTATTAATTACATCATTTTGTCATCGCGGTACGATATTATCTGTGCCATTGTTACGTCGCGCGTTTGGGTGCGGCGAGGTTCGACGAATTCACTCGCGTATTCTCTCGCCTTACCGTCTACAATCCCGAGACCTCGTATTTAGCCCCTCTTCAGGTCACCAGTCTCATAGAAGCTCTCCGTACAAAAGAGCGCGAAGCATCCGGAGAATCTTGAAGCACCTCGAGGAACAACGAAGAACTCTGATTCGTCAAGTGCACTCTGCGTTACTTTTCGCGCCTCACATCCAGCCATGGGAGACGACGTGCGTGGTGTCAGAGTGATCCTCTGAGCAGACATTGACCGAGATAAACAGCTGATCCGGGGAATGACGTCGCGACGGGACGTCGTCTTTTTGGAGCGCGATCGTACACTCGGTGCGTCATAGTGCCGCCACGTCTCGAGTGAAGTTAGTTGTGCTTTCTTGCACTTTCTGTACTCGGCGGCCGCTGCGTTCGGCAGCCGCTCCACAGGTTTGTGCCTTTCTCTCTACAGTGCCCTTTTATTTCTTGCGCTTTATTTGCAAACTTGATATGTATGCCGTCCGAGTACTCGAATATAAATCGCCCTGTAGCGGTAAAAAAAGTGATTCGCGGTGAAACAAGCGAGTTTCGTAGCAGTTGTTGCAGCACGCGAGATGTGCACACGCGCGAGTAATCGTGTTTGACGCGGCAAAATTAAATTAAGGAGCTTGTTCACCGAGTATGTACTTTCGGAATTCCAAGAGGCGTATTTTCAGTGGTATATCAAGGAAGCTACTCATAAATTCAGTGTTTATCGAACAAAATTACGTATCTTTATATATTTATTTCATCATCTAGATGATAAATTTATATTATTTGAAACTATTATCTTTCATATTATCTTACCATGTTTTATGTAGTACACACAACTCAAAGCATCTCAAAGCTACTCAAAGTATAAAACAATAGTTTTCTAACCTACATCGATCACAAAACACTACGCTTACACAAAAACGGTGTAGTGAATACTTTTTTCTTCTAAGTCGCGTTTCCTGATATGTAACATTTATAATAGTATAGACAGACCATATAAAACTTTAATTGCGATAAATGTTAAATTTTTGTATAAAGTATTTTTTGGTAAAAAAAACTCTTTACATATACATAGTTCTATCTTGAGATCTTTGATACTATTTAAAATCCAGTAAAGATCTTTTTTTTCAAACACTGTCTTGAAATCCTTATGTAGCTTGTGAAATGCGTGCGCGTGACTTTATGTTTACTTTATAATTTCAATATGTATCTTTGGAATTAGTAACTGGGAAAGTTATTTGACTCATTATTATGAAAGGAAGCAGACATAACGTGAACGGATTGGATCTCATCCTCGAAAAGAGTTTGACGGCTTGATTGGAAAAATGGCAGGAGCTAATGCTTTAATTTCGAGAAGTTTGCGTCAATTAACGTTTGGAAAATATTTGGAAGGTATGACATTACGGATGAACAATATGTATTAATGTAATGAAGAACATGTATATGTTCGGTAATGTTTCTTTCTCGAAAGGTCCCGCACGTTTGTTTTCGTCCAAAGACACGGACAAAGTCGACGAGAGTCCGAGATTGCGTGAATTTCGGAAAAAATTGCGCGAACGCGCTCCTATAGGTATACCGTAAAACTTGCGAGTCTTACAAAATCAGAAAAATCACAAAGCGAATCTTACACGTAACAGAGAAACTGGAGGAGTTGGAAGAGGGCAAGCATCCTTATCAGGAGAAAGAGCCTTTAAAGCCATTCCCGGACAACACAAATCCAGCAACGGGCGAAATCGGAGGACCACGCGGTCCAGAACCGACTCGTTATGGCGATTGGGAAAGAAAAGGTCGTGTCACGGACTTCTGAAATAATATTAGCTGTAGGGAAAGAAATATACAGTCAGTTTATAATGTTAGAATAATTGCACCGTATCTAAGTAATACACTGAGGAAGACACTTGGAAATTTATTTGTATGATACAAAATTTATTTCCGTGATATAAAATATATTTCTGAGAAATAAAATTTGTTTCTGTGAAATAAATTTTTGTTCTACAAATAAATTTTTAAGTATTTTTTTCTCAGTGTACTCTGTCAATAAATGTCAACTCAACTGATATATGTATGTTCTGAATAAAATACTTTGTTATATTATTTTCCGTTTTGATCTATTAATAGGATATAAAACATCCAATTATTGACATCCTTCTGGTTATTAAGGTTTCAGAAACCTGATTTTTCTTGCGATCAGTATTATAGTTAAACTCCTTGCCTGGATTTTATAATTCCAAAAAAAACTTCAGAACTAAAACTGTGAACTGCCGCTGGTCGTAAGAAAAACTCTTTTAGAGTATGAATAGTCAAGGGGGATCAATAATTTTCTGTGTGTCAATACACTAAAAACTAAGAAAAAACTACTTGTAAATTTATTTTTGAAAAATATAAAATTTATTTCTGTGAAATAAAATTGATCTTTCTGCGAATAAACTTTATATCCTACAAGTAGGTTTTCAAGTTTTATTTTCTCAGTATAACTGGATGTTTTACTCTATCTTATTCTTAGATATCCGAAAAGACTATGCGCGTATTTTTTGTATCCTGTATATTAAAGAGTTATTACCTAACACAGTTGGAAGTACATCGATGCGTAAGTGTTTTATTAACAAAATGAACGATGAATTTTCACGTCGATATTTCCGCGATTAGACGTGTGCTTTGCAGTGGTTTACGTCTACAAGATGATTCAGACAATAAAGCTCATCCTGACGAAATCACAGCTGAAAAATTGCAGACAATACATCACGAGTACGAGTGATTCAAGTTTTCGAATATTTCGTATTTACGGATTTAAAACTTACACTCTAACGAATTTAGATCGTTACTTTCCTCATAACGTTTACGTTCATTTTGTATTAAAAAACATAAAAATTAAACGAGTGGTCTGCGTTTAGGTACTTTAATGCTGAAAATAAAGCAAGATGCAGACGCGTTTGTGAAAGGCAAGCAAGAAGAATCACCGCGAATGAAACAATTCCACGAAAAACTCAAGTTGCAGCCGATATCAAGTATGTAATATGTAATAATTGATAAAATAGATAAAACTGGCGAGAGGAAATAGTTTTAACACGACATCAATCACTTTTTTACATATTCCCACGATTTCTTCAATCAACGTATATCGTTCGCATTTTCTTTATAATAATAATATTATTATATAAATATCTATATAAAACCACACATTTCTTGAACTGTAAAAGATTTCGTAATGATTCTTCCTCGCTTAATAGAAGTAGGACCACGAGAACGATTTGTGGATCTAGTGTTAGTAGACATTGACTCGAAAACTGGAGAATTAATAGCAGATAGCGAGAAGGAACCTACTAAATGGGGAGATTGGCAGCATGGTGGTAGAGTTACCGATTTTTGAGACGAGAACATTATGTGCTTGCTGTAGCCTTTGAACGATACACACGTAAAGCACAGAAAGAAGCTCTCTGTAATTCATTCGTCTTTATTAAAACTCGGCCTATAGAAAATTAATAAGACTTGAATTTTCTAAGGTAGTCAGAATGCTAGAGGTAAAACGATGTGGATTAAAATTATTTCTCGAGAGTAGCGAAACATAGAATCGATAATGTCGCATATACATAATGTAGAAAAACATTTATGTTCCGGAACGAAAATTTTATCTCTGATGGTGGAATAATAAATTACATTGTACGCAAGAACGTTTTTGTTGAATAATATAATATTGAGAAGTTAGTTTTTGCAAATACCTATAAATTTATTAATGTGTTTGGCATTAATTCCAACTTGACTTTTTTCCAGAAAGTCCAACTCTCACTATGTTAATCTACACAAAAAGCTTACATTATACAGATCATCGGTATGTTACATGTATAAAAATATGTAGTGTACTGAGACTCTGCAAGATACAATAGCAACGAAATTTTTATTTAGCTAAAACATAATGAGTTTTTAGCGCTGATACTAAGCCGTTCGTGTAGAAAAAGAGCACTGCTAATTCTACAAACGTATCATAACAAGAAAATGTATATACACAATTTTCAGTGTAGTAAAAATTTCATTTTGTATTTGCAATGTTTCGAAAATTTTTCTGTGACGATGTCGAAAATTCTTAACAAAATAATGTACTACGAGATGTTACATTGTAGAAGATACGCCGTAGAATTTCATTCCCTTTATAGCTATTGGGACAATAGCAAATAGATCGTTTGATTAATCTCGCTATACCTTCGATATCCTCTGAAAATATTACAGCGGTACTCATAAAATAAAGCGATGTGTTTATCGCACTATCGATAGACCGCTTCGCAGATTATTGTAATTTTCTATATACAACTTTCCCATTACGCTTCTAATACAGCACAGGAAATGTTTCAACTGTTGCGTCTCTTAATACAAGAATATGTACCACTGCGCTATACGGAAAGTATAAAATTTCATTCGAAAAGTAAAAACGAAGATCAGCAGACATATTTACATGATAATGATCCTTTTTATGTACTAAATTTTTCTTATATACACACGTCGCATATTTAAGCGATATACGATAGAATTTTTGAAGAATATTAATTTCCTTGATAACCAAATAAAAAAATGTTCTTTTTTCAAACCTTTTATTAAACTTGGAAAAATCCGAATATGAAAAACTAAACATCACAAACAAAGTCAATTTGCAAAATAAACTAGCTAAACTCTCCCACAATTGGGTTTATTGCATCGTTAAATTAAAAGAAAAGAAAATAATATACGATAGGAATACAAAACAAACAAAACGGATTCTAAATCCGTAGACATAAATATCCTTACATTCAAAAGATTGAATATCTTCAGTCTTTCATCTAGCATCAACGGACTTGTCTGAATTATCAAAGTATAAGTGGCATCGCAAGCGCATTAGAAAAAAAATTTGTAAGATCTTAACAGTTTATAAACTATAAAGTTTTATTGATGGCTAACACATCCCGCATCATCATGTTTCTTAGTGTCCACAAAGCATTCACCACATTACCATGGTTGCCGACGCCGTTGCCCAGCCATTCGGCAGGCAATTTCGTCACGTCCGGGATTTGCGTGTTATCCGGATTAGCGTTCATTTGCTTATCCCAATTTGATATGTAACGGTTCTCTACGTTTAGTCCTTCGATGTACCTATATGTAGATTTAAAAGGAAACACAAGAAAAGATAAGAATATGCTTCGATGCAACGTTGAGAGAGATTTCCTATTGATATAACATCGAAAGAAGTAGCCCAACAATAGCGAAGGATATCTCGTATAAAGTAACTGATTAACCAAATTTTACCTTAAATAGGCATCCGAATGTAACACGCGACTTGGTCTCGGTGGTACCGCAACGAACATTGGCTCCGGCTGCTTAGCGACAGGTACGTTGCTTGTCTGAGTAGCTGCGGCTGAAGTTTCTGCGTGTGAGAAAGAGAGAACAAAGGGAGGGAACGGGGAAAGAGAGAGAGGGAGGCAGAGACCGGATTTTATCTTAATCTCTTTCCCCTTACTCTTATTTAAAATCGCATTTAAAACATTTTCGCAATAAGATTTACCTGTTTCCATCGGTGGTAATACCGTCGGCCCTTTTGAAGCCATGTAATTTCTACGGGAATACACAATCACACGTTCAGGTTAAATCGTTTCTTATGGAATGTATACGAAATGTGTATACGAAAATGCGAAGAAATTAATGCTTACTTGCTTCTCTCGGAGGGAGGTATTATACGGCCGTGTGACTTTAGAATGTGCACTTCCTTCACGTGTCTGGCGAGTCTCTGTACGCTTGGAAATGGCGGAACGGTCTTCTTCGTACGACCGCAGCCACGCCACTGACATTGAAACTCCACATCTACAACATCGCGAATCGCAATTTTACTCTCCTGCACAGAATATCAGCGGATGTTCCTCGTTGCTGTTGTCTACACATCGCAGACAGCGCACAAACGCGATCAGATGCTTACCGCTAGGAGCGTTCACAAATGACGACTGTACATGACCGTTTTGTTCCGCGATGCAGTGATCGATGCAATCGGTCATGTCCTCGAACTGCCAGTCGCAATTGTCCCAACAACATTCGTATACTACGTCCTGCGTAGAGTTCGTGCCTACCGATACCGCCGTCCCCTTCAGCTGTCCTCCATCCTCGTTCATCTTGATCGCTCGCTCCTCCCAGGCTTGCTTCTCTCCGGCTGGTAATTTCCTCCACTGGAAGGAAAGTCTCTTTTATACGTTTTGCGCCGTCAAGCTCGTCGCGTTACTTGTAATCCACGATAAACAGTTGGTAAAGCCACTTCAAGTCGAATATCTCAAAGTAGCTTGACAAACTGTGACGAACTAATGGCTACTTTCCCTCTCGCGAGATTCGAATGTGCAAGTATATGCAGATTATAACGCACATCAGAATTATAAGCTTATATATGTACGTATGTAGTACTCGCGAAAAATCATGCCATCTTTGTTAAAACTGTTTGTCAGATAAGTGCACGCGCATCTACGACATATATGCGTAAACTATACATCAGTAAGGAACGATAGAAAGTAGCCACTAAGATATAACGTAATTCATTTGAATAAAGGAGCGATGCTGAATACTGTTTTAGCGATATATTGCATATATTGCATTCTCTGTTACATATATTGCAAGACTCTTAGATAATTAAGATAAGTTTTACGTTTTTTCATACAGTTCAATAAATTTAGCGTTAAAGATGTTGTAAGACAAAGCAGTCTCTTTTAATCTTCATTACAGAAGACATATTTGTATTTGTAAAAAAAAATTATTCAGCACATGTCCCCCTTCAATCAAAGATTCTTTTCGACAAAGAAAAAATCAACAGTGAAAAAGAAATAAATACCTCGTTGCCAACAATTCTGCTAATCTCTCCGAAGGACGATTCAGGATTGTTTTGTGTAATCTGCGTTCGCATTTTACTCGAATACAAAATATAGCCCGTAACTAATTTCTTACCCGCCGTTTTCTAAACAGAAGAAAAACAAATTATAATATTAACGCTTCATGTTAACGAATATTTCTCTTTCTTTTTTCTTCTTTACACATATTTCTCATAAGAAGTAACATCAAACTGTCAACCTATTGTTAGATCAAGTGAGGTGTCTCAACGGTGCTCAAAAATAAAAAAGATAAGAGATATGCTGGCATATTTCTTTAAATAAAAAGAAAGTGAAATAAATGAAAAACATATGACATGTGAATGGAGTTGATGAAAGTAAATTAGAAGTCACGGTAAAGCCTACCTTCTTAGTCGACACAGGAGTTTGAGTATTGGAGAGCACCGGTTGAGCTTCTGTAGATCCAACGGATGGTGGACCACCAGCATCCATGCTGTCTTCCCCAACTCCTACTCCCACTCCTACTCCTAATCCTACCCCCATGCTTAGTACATCGGGTTCCAGCTTCGGTAACAATGGTGATGCTTCCTACACCATTTATGTTATGTTACCTTCACATTGTCTGCGTTTACCGATTACAATATCGCGTGTTTTCGCGGCTCTTCTCCACGCAGTAAAAGTTAACATAGCAAAAACAACATTATCTTGTCCATCTGTTCAAAGTAAGCTACTGGTTCCCATTCTCCTATACAAAAACTATTTGTTAAACTTGATAGATACAGTCACTAGAGAGTATGAGATATGTCCGTTCCTAAGTACGAAATTATCGACGTGTGCATAAAGGCTTGTTTATAATAAGCGGAATAAACTTGGTGTAAAAGTTGGAGTAAAAATTAAAAATAATTTATGTCGCTCACGCGTCTCTAGCTTGCTTACATTGGATATATTTCTCTTACTTGAGAAATCTCTCTGGTATAAGGAAGCTAGAATACAGGAAATATGTGTAAGCGAAATAAATTTATATTTTTTACTCCAACTTTTTTACTCTAAGTTTACTCTGTGAATTATAGACGAGTCTTAAGTCATATGCACAGATATTAAGGGCTCTGGATAATTTGTAGACATGAATTAAAGCAGTTTCTTTGGAATTTTTTCGTAAAGAGATTATAAGACATATAATTTTGAACTTTTCAGTAAGTTTCTATTATACTTTGAGAAAGTTATATGATTTTTTACATAATTGAAACTTATATTAGTAAATTATTGGGCGTGGCACAATGATATGCTGGTGGCGTGCATAGTATATAGTCATTTATAGTAATCTGAAAAGAGTAAAGATTCTTATCTTATATAAGTGTTGCTATTATCTAAACTAGGATTATTGGATTAATCCAAAATTTAAAAAAATATGACTGAATCAAAAAGCAAATTATCGCAATTTGCTTTTAGATCACGTTAGTTTGTAAAATTGTTGTTTAACCCCATAATTCTAGTTCAGACGACACATTCATATAAGATAAAAATCTCATTTGTCTTTTGTTTCAGGTCGCTATACACAAGCGGCTACATCATGCATGCCAGCACGAATGCATTGCGCCGCGTCCTATAACTCAACTAATATATGCGAGTTTCAATTTTAAAAGAAAAAATCGTGTAACTTTCTCAAAGCATAATAAAAATATACTGAGAAGTTTAAAATATATGTCATAGTCTTTTTGTAAAAAATTCCGAAAAAACTCATTTAATTCATGTTTATAGAATATTCAGAGCGCTTAATGCGTTGTTTGCAGACAAGCGCATATTATATTCGAGACTTCTTGGAAAGACTTTAGATTAGTGGTACACGTTTATATTCAAAAGCAAATTCTTTACTCTTATATTAGTTGGGTTAGAATGACATGGAAGCAAAATCTCTCAGTGGTGCTTTATATTTGCAACGTATCAGCGATAAACCCAACAGGTGCTCTGATGTCGGATATACGCAAAACTGCTCGATACACAAACACTGTACATAACACATAATTACACATAATCAAAATTAAAAGAAAACAAGAGAGAGAGAACAAAATGAATATGCCGGCATAGATCGAATAAACATGCATGTAAATGCATTTGGTACTTTCTTTGTATCACACGCAAAGAATTGTTACAAATTTAATAAGATCAGAGGAAAAGTTCCCCTTCCTTGATATTGTATATATACATACACACACACACACACACATATATATATATATATACACATATATCATATATCACTAGCTTGCGTGTGATCCCGAGAGGAAACGTGCAATTCTTATTCTTTATTATTAAAAACGAGAAATATAGGTAAGATCTCGTAATTAGTAATTACCATCTCAAATGGGGCCGAGCTGGGCGTGACGGACTTGACTTGATTTTGCGTCTGAGCCACGTCGCTCGAAACCTACAACACACACATAACATGCGAAGCGATAACTCTACAGTTAGTCGCGTTGAACCAACTAAGACGTATTCCATTATTTGCCGAACATACATTGCATACACTGTGGTATGTTAGTGAAATATGTTTAGTTCTTGTACATACTTTGGCAGGATTGATGGACCTCCGGAAGTAATAGGTCTCGTCCTCCGTCACTCCCAACGAATAATTGAATTTCTTCAAACCTTCCTGACTAAGCTTCTTCATCAAGTTTTTACTTTCGTCGTATAGCGATTCACAGATGTACACGTCATCTTCGGGTATTTCTGTTGGTCTGCCTGTAGTCACGTAAGCGATGTATTAATACACGAATTTAGTTTCTAGTAATCTCACCTACAAATGTTAGGAGAGAACATCACAGTAGAAATTTCAAAAAGTCGATTTTTTTTGCCGTATTTTTTGAAAGATTATATAGTTTTAAAAAATCGTTTAGAGATTAATTGAAAATATTGACGAAGTTAAAGGAAAATTTATGAAGCGTTGTTAAAGGCGTGTAAAATACTGGAAAATGACTTTAAACGCGTATCTCTAGAGATTGTCTTTTTGAAGCTGTTCCGAAAAATATTTTAAAAGCTATTAATCCAATTGACTTCTAGTTGCGAAAAATAATCAGATTCTTCTCGTTCGCACACATATTTACAAAGTTTTTTTTTTCAGGCACTCTTTGAGAAACGTACAAAAAGCTGACCGATTTTCGTCGAAAATTCGTTCTATTTTTTTGTAAAATCTACGCCATTTTGTGAAAACAAAATTTCTTAAAATCCCTACGTACAAACAAAATCATGTAGTTTCTAAAAATGTTTACTTCACTGACGTTAGATTAATTCAGAAGCAATCATTTGAATAGTACACAACCATGTTCTTTTGATCTTATCTTATAGAACCTAACTTGTTAGAAGACATATACTTTAATCAAACAACATAAAGGTTTTTAAAACATGCATTAAATACGTATGACTATTTATTAAAAAATTTATTTATTTATTAAAAAATATATTGTTACTGAAAAACAAAAAAATTCCTAAAGATACTTTTTTTCTTTGTCTTTACTGTGGTATTTCCCCATAAAAAGTGAATATACTCACTGCATATATAATCTCCATAATCAAGGACGGCACATTTTCCAACAATAGCAACAATAGGGTGAGTACCGTCTACATTGGATAGAAACAGTTCTTGCTTATAAAATAATTTTGTAGGTGTATGTGGCACTTCTGTAGGCATCAATAACCATGGACCTTTGAAATAGCACTTTGCACTGAAATGAAAAATAAATATGACATATTAGTACACAATCGAATTGTCAGATATTCACACAATGCAGGACAGTACGAGCACACACTGTACTTTTGTTACTTACTCCTTGGCTAACCACATAGCATAGATTTGCGTTATCTGCTGCCTGCCCCCATCTGTCGCTACATAAACGAAATCACCGACTCTCACAGATCCCACACATGTGTTGTACTGTTCGTAATATATATTGTCGGTATCTTCCGAATTTTTTAGTATCACATTCTGTCGTGGTAATGTAAAATAAATGTAAATTATATTAAAACTATTGAATGTATTAACATAATGAGAGAAACAACTTGACGATTAAAACTTCTACGAGTAGTAATAGTAATAGCAAAAAAATGCAAAGAAATACGCCAATGTTAGAGTATACGTATACGTATTATCAAAACTATTCCAGATTATTTCAAAACTGCAATATTTTTGAAAAGACACGCGTTAACCTTAGCGTGTATCTGTTGTATTTTCTTATAATCGATCGAACTCTTATGTGTCGAATCACTTACCGGTTTCTCTTTCTCCATTAATTTTTCCCCCTCCTCCAACTCGGCAATTTCTTCCTTATGCTTCTCCAATCGTTCTTTATATACAGAAATTACTCGTTTCGGTTCTAATGTCTTTTCTCTTGGGATCAGCTTCAAATGATCGGGATCAAAATTCCAGACTTTGATTTTCTTGAAAGCTCTGGCTTTCGTAGAGTAACGCGACTCGCACACATAAACGTCCTTTTCCAGGAATCCCTCGGGTTGCATGCGAAAGTAATCCTTTACACTCAAAACGCAACATCTGCCAGCTACCTTTATTAGAGGTAACGCCACATGAGCGTCGCTTTTGAATAATTCCTTATCGAGAAACTTCCGCGAAGCTACGTGGTATGTTTCGCTCGGTCTGTAAAACAAATTTCCGTACAACATTTGCTGACCCTCCGCATTGGTCCAAAGCCTTTCTATGAGAACCACGCCGAACTCCATGCCTCGTTCCGTTGGTTCGACATACGCAAAGTCGCCAGCTCTATATACTTCTTGGTTAAAACTCATGGATCCTCCGTTATCGCTATTGTTTCCTTCCGTATTTGTATTTGTTTCAGAGTCCTGAAGTAATGAATAATTTGAAATACTTTAGATAAATCATGCATTAATAACAAGATATTTTTTTAATAATATATGTAAAAAGAAAAGAGATAATTGAGATCTCATTGCAAACTTTCAAGGACAAAATTTGACCTCACCTTTGTTTCATTTCCATCACAGCTTTCATCTTCATTAGGAAGATTTAATTCCTGTTGTTGTTTTATTCTCTTAAGTTCTGCAACCTGAGCAGACAATTCAAGAAGTGTGTAACCCAATGCAGGCGAATGCAACAAGTGTCCTCTCTGAGTTGCCTCATCGCGTGTACGCAAAAAGAATGTCTGAAGTTCCACACTGTCTTCAAATGGCTGTGAATCTGTACGCGATAACCTGCGGGCTCTCTCCAGACATGTAAAAACATCTTCTTGGAATCTATCTAGTCTCTTGTATACTCCTCGATCCAGTCTCCTCTTAATCAAGTCCAGTGACAAACCTCGTACTCTATTTACCATAATATATAAAAATAATTATTGTATATTGTTATTGTATACAGTAACTGTATATTACTATTATATATAGTAATGTTTAATGCATATAAAAACAAAATAACTTTTGATATTGATACACAAACAGATTTCAAATTTGGAATCTCTTTATATTTGCTAAATATTCTTAAAGTTCACTTCATACTTCTTTCCATCGACGATATCATGTTCTGGAAGTTCTGCCATAGAATCTGAGTAACATCTCCCTTCTTCATCTTGATGATTATAAAGAGCTGTAAATATCGTTGCTAATATCTCTTGCACAGCAGCTGGCACATCTGGGATGCTTTCCTCATCCTCACTCAGCTGCAGTTTACTTTGCAACACTAATCTTTGTAATATTAAAGCGTCCTAAAATGTTGGTTACTCATCATTATTTATCACAAGTATTATTATTCACAGCTAAATGACATTTTAATGAGCACAGGAACAATTAAAATATGCAAAACATATTTATCTTGTTCATTTACTTCTGTATCGTTCTTCTTATACTTTTTTCGTATACGTTCTTCTACCTCCTTGTCTCTTAATAGACGTATGAAACACGATCTGGTCTTTAGTGGATTTTGTACTGTTGTGTCGTTAATTAGATTATACTCGTTTTGTTCGAACATTCTCGGGACTTGCACGATAAATAATAAAGTTTGTTATGGAGTAAAAGTTGGAAGCACTTTGTAAAATTCACTTATCGAAAGATTGCGATAAAAATGCACACTTGTTACTAAGGTTAATATAAATCTCATGAACACGATCAATATATTGCTAGTAAGTTTCTAAGTATGTATAATTTGCGAACGCATGCTTTAGGAAAGTACGCGAAACATCGTTTAAAAGAATTTGATCTTTCTTATTATATACAGAAGATCAAAACGTACGACAAAGCCGAGGAGGAAGCTTCAGGTAACCTCCAAACCCCGGTCGTAAACAGATTGGGCTTTCCATGTTTTACCGCGAAATTTCAATTTAAGTTTCTATACGCGCATATTATTTCAAACGCAATTCGTACTATAAGAAATCATACTTCAAAATTAGTTTTAAAGCATGGTATTTTTTTAAGATTATATATTAATTAAATCGACTTTCATTAAATTAGTTAAATTAACATTATTGATAAATTAGTCATATTTTTATATTTTACTCCAGTTATAAAAAAAGTGTATAATTATAAAAAAAAAATAGCTAGTTCGATATAAATTGACAGATATTTTCATAAATTAAGTAATGTTAAAAAAGTTTAATGTAATTTCATTACTTTTTTTTAGAAATATTCGCAAAAATGAATCTATTATAAAAATCATGATTTTAATTGGAATTATGTCTATTATTAAAAAAATGATTTATAGATAAATAATAGGTAATAATTTTAGTTTGTAACGTATATGACATTTACTTTTCATCAAAATTTATATGGAATTAGTTTTCATCAAAATAAAAGTTGTCTTGTGGGAGATTGGACTTGTGTGATTAAAGATGTTAATGTAAAAACAAAGTAATTAAAAATTACAGATTAGAAAGTTCTTTCTAATCTATTGCCAAATGCAATTTATAATTATACTGCATAAAGGGGAAACTCCAAATATTTATGTTTAAGGTCTAATCCATAATATGCTCTTTGTACCCTATTTTTTCTCTTTTTAACTTAAACCTGAAGCCTGTAGCCAGAAATAGAGAACCAGAAACAAGAAGCGAAATGCACGCTGTAAATTAAGCTTAACAGTAACATTAAAAGTTTGTATATATATACATTTCTCATATATGAAGCAACATATAAAACAACATTTTTTTGTATATGTTTGAAAGACAAAGAATATTTAATGTCTATACAAACCTTGTATATCTGCGAGTCCGGCTCGTTATATTTGCAAGCGTTGTCAAACATTAATATAAAATCGGATACTAATTCATCCAAATTCTCATATCCGTTATTTTTTAAAGTGGCAGCTATCTTCTCCATATGTATAGGTTGCTTGATCACTTCATAATAATCCGGATATTCATTTTTATTCGGTAACTTCATGAAAATTAGGGACAATTGCCTCCCTTTCGTGTCATGATAATCTTTTATGGTGTCGTATAGAGTTTTTAATTTTTGCAAATGAAGCGGCACTACTTTCTTCGGTCTCCTAGATTTGTAAGTAGGAGAAGAAGAATAAGGAGTAGAAAAGAAAGAGAAACAATTCAAGGACCGTTACTCGTGTTCCACATTTTGTATGAACACTAAACATACCCGACGTTTCTAGTTGGTGTCGATGCGGTGGATTTGGACTTGGGAGTATCTGGCAAGGGTCCCAATTCCTTCACTTTGTCCATCAAAACTTTCTCCAAAGTATTCGCATCTTCGTAAATCAATGAACCTTCTTCGTTGTATTGGCGGCAATTATTAAACATCAACTGAGACAAGACACGGCGTTTATAGATAAAATATCTATCGTAGGTTAACGATTTAGTTTTTATGGCTTATATTTCGTGTAAGTACCTTAAAATCTTGTATTAATTCACTCTCATTTTGATATTTCTCCGCTTTAATGTTGGCTTCGATCGCCAGCATGTCTATGGGTTCAGCTATCACTTGATAATAATCTGGATATAATTTCTTGGAAGGTTTTTCCATGAACATCAACATGGGTTGCCGACCATCTTCGCACTACAAAGGAAATCAGACATGCTTTACGTCAACTGACCCTGTTGATTTTAGCGCATTTTGGAATTACTTACAACGTATTCTATGACACACTTGACTAATGCGTATAATCTCTTCTTTAGCGGTATATTGTCCTTGTATTTTCCACGTGTTAATAAATTTGAAGCGCGTTTGATTAACTTAGGTTGTTGCGAGCTATTCTCCGATTCGCTATCCGAATCGGAATCCTGCAAATATCGACAACTTAGTGCGTTATATTCGCATCTCGAAAGTGTCGTATATAACTGTGTTGGTGCAATTTTACACAGAATACTCTACGTATATTATAAGCAAGAAATAAAGCTGTCTATTACATTATATTACCTGATCGAATTCTAGAAGCTCCTGTACTTTCTCTTGCATTATCTTCTGCAACTTAACAGCACTCTGTGATAAAACATAAGAGGTAAGTACAACAATTGTCACGATTATTACAGATAGAGTACTATAGCCGCGTCAAAATTTTTTAAAATTTGATAAAGGATCGATGAAGCTCTCGTGTAGTGTATTCGATGTATCTTAATTATATGTACAATTAGTGTTCCAATGACCTGTTATAAACTATCATAATTATTGTGTTATGAACATATCACTCGATGGCGTATCAATTATAAATTTTGAAGCCTCTATATAAATTATAAAAAAAGACAGCAGAAACATTTTTCCACACAGTCCAGTATTTATAATATAAAAAATAATTACACTAATAAAATCCTAATCATTTTAACCTAAGTAGTAACTAAAGTATATTAATCGCGAGAATTATTACCTTATACAGCCGAGATGTGTGTACGTTATATTTTTTAGCATTTTCAAACATGATATTCATGTCTCCAGCTACTTCACTAACGGTACCATATTCACCTTTCTGAAAGTCATGATTTAGCAATATATTCCATTTTCAGACTATTCATATATACATTAATTATATTTTACAGCAAATTTTTATATATTACTGCATACCTTTATTTTTGTATGTATTTGTAGTAAACATATAGGATTTTTTATCGTCTTATAGTAGTCAGGATATGATCTTTTTGGCGGAAGTTTCCAAAAATATTCGCTTATTCGTAGACCTGCGTATAATATAACGTAATAATTATCTTGAAAAATTCGATGAAACAACAATAATTCTATAATTTGCTATTAAAAAATATCGCACCTTGATTATTGGGAGCTGTTCGAATGGTTTGAAATAGTTGCCATTGAGGGTTATCAGGATCTTCGCTCTCGGCGAGTTCTTCATCTTCGTCATCACTTTCATCATCTTCGTCGACTAGCGCCGCTGTATGTGCTATCAACGATTGTGCCATGCTACGACTGCCTCTTTTACTTCTCGTCGAAGGCGCGGTTGTAGCGATCTTAGGTGTATTACTTCCTAATCCGCTGTCTTGCCTTTTTGCAGCTGCGGTGATTATTTTCTTCAAGAGTTTGGCATCTTTGTAAATTTGCGAGCCTGGCTCGTTAAATTGACAGGCGTTACGGCACATAAGCATTAAATCTTTCTCCATATCGCCGATGGAGCTGTACGCGCCTTCTTGAATTCTTCGCGCGACAGTCTTCAAGTCCACTGGTGTTTCGATGACATCGTAATATTCTGGATAAAGCTGTGAGGTAATTGAAAAATTTGAGATTAGTGATAGAATACGATAAAAATAAACATCCCAGATAGCACAGAGAATTCAAAAAAAATTTTTTTAAATTCAATCGTATGTCACCAATTCTGAATTCATTTTCAGATGTAAAAAGAATTCTTCAAAGTTCAGTTCAGTAAAAAGAATTCTTTTTGCATCTAAAAATATACTCAGAATTGATGACATATAACTGAATTCTTTTTGAATTCTCTGTTTTATCTAAGATAAGACTAATTTAAGCAGTACCTTTTTGGAGGGTTTGAGTTGAAACATAGTGTGAAGAGGCCTGTTATTGTCCATAGGATCAGTCGCTGTCATAACTGCTGCGAACAAATCTTCAAAGAGCTGCATAGTTTCTTCATCGAGATTCGTTGAACTTTCAGAAGTATCTTCTGCATCATCCTGCCTCGTTGTCGTTTTACGTGCCTAAGAAAAGATGACATCTTAAAATATAAAGTATTAAAGTGTATGATGTGTATACCTGGCACAATAAAGATACACCATTTAAGAACTTCCCATAAGAAATACATTATATGTTCTAGGATACAATTTCATGTGATACTCAGAGATAAAAACACCAGACTTTTGGATAATTTCAGTAATACATTTTATTTCTTGACTATCTCTCTTAAAAAATTATTTGTTTTTATTGCACTATAATACCTATGTATTAACTCTCGTAAACTTTGAGTTATTAGATTAAATCATAATAATTACCAATCTTCCAACTTTTAGGATAAGCTTTCCTTTAGGTTCTGGGTCTTCATATTCTTCTGTAATACGATTTTTAGTATTCACACACAATTCCCACAGTTCAGTCGCATCTTTATACTCAGGAGATGTACGCTACAAAAATCACCCAACAGAATACTATAGTTGTTGACAAACAAATGATAGCACAAGTGTTTCATATGTGTACTTGTGCTTCTTATTAACATCTGTGTATAGATTGAATATATGTAAGAAGATATTAATGAAGAGTATATTATTACCATGTAAAAAGCTTTCGCATTATTGACCATAAGTTGAATATCAGCAGCTAAATCATCCATATCACGATATTCGTCAGTTTTCAGTTTCTGCTGTACTTTCAGGAGATCGATAGGATTAGATACGACTTCATAGTATCCTGGTTCTTGCCTACGTTTAGGCACACGTATAAATGCATCACACAGCAAGGTACCATCCTCTTTCTTCTGATTACGCAGCACATCGTACAACTGTTGGCACAAGTCACTCTGCAGAAAACAAAAGTAATTAACAGATACTCGACATAAATCTGCCAGACGAATTCGTGACGAGCAAACAGAAGCGCACACACACTCACAGGATCTAATTTTTTCCTCCTCTTCGTGGGTTCCGGTGGAATATCGTCGCCGTCGTCTTCAGTGCCGCGGCTGGCGACCGACGATGTTCTACGACGTTTGTTCATCTTGATGTATCTTGAAAAGTCACGAAATATAAGACAGAGAATAGCTGGCAAGATCTACAAATTGAAATTCGTTACATCGTCCAGCCGTGCAACGTGTTTTTCTAACCCATAAGCTAAAGCCTCCACAGCAAAACTATCGGAGACAGGGGAAATGTGTAAACAAATGTACGTGCATACACACATCCGCGTGTATTCGTATGTGCGCGTGTATGTACATATAAAAAGGGTTCTTGAACTAAACAGCACGAAGCCCCGAGAGTCGAACTCGTGCGCCGTGCGTTATTTATCAGAAACGTACGGCTGGTTGCTTATCGGCGTGCCCAGGCTCGTCTTTCACACGGCACAGAAAGCGGACCCACGTAACACTTCGCCGTCGGCCGCGGATGCGCGCGTTGTGCTCGGGTTCGTGCGAATTCCTCGGCACGAGTGAGCGTCACGCACAACAGTATAAACCGAGATACCCCGACACTACGCTACTAAAAAAAATCCCGCCGCCATGATAAGTCGCTGCTGTGCTTGAAAACCGCGGCGGCGGCGGCGGCACCGACACAGCGGTGTATGCACGGTGTGCGCGTTCAAAACCGGTGTTCGCTGCTGCGAGAGAGACGATTCCGCCTCTCTGACGCGCCATCGATTGACGCCGCGCGCTAACGTGCGTGAGCCGTGCGCGTCGTCAACGGCACGTACGTTGTGCATCAGGTGCGTTGACGGGCGCGTCGGGCTGCTTTTTCTCATCCTGCGCCTGTGCTGCGATCCGGACGAAATTTGCCGCCATATCGAAACGCGAACAACGCATCGTCGCCCGCGCCGCGGAATCTATCCCCGCGGTGCCTTCGCCAACGGGGTCGCGTCGCGCTCGAGGTACTCGATTTCTCCACCGTTCTCTTCCCTTCTTCCCCCGGCCCCGATCGCGAGCTCTCTCACCTGTCGCCGGGACTCCTACGAGAGAATTTTCATTGAGTGTACGACATATATAAAACCCCCACGCGAGTAGTGCTGCAAATCCGACGTGTACTGCGCTTTTCATCCGCGACACATATCTTGGCGGCTGACGCCATGCCGCGTGAGCGACCGCTCTCATTCTCTAATCGCATTTCCACGCCGAACGTCGGGTGCGCGAACGACCTTCTCGCTTGCGAATGCTCTCCCACTCTCTCTCTCTCTCACATTCTTACCGATTGTCTCTGCGATTTGTTTACTATTCAACGCGTAGGCCTGCACGCTTTAGTATCAATGGAAACGTTGGTTGATGCATTTTGTGGATCAATTACGAATAGACGCTTATCGGTCGGTAACATCGACGCTCGGCTTCTCGCTCAATCGATAATAATAACCCTCACGAACTCTCTAGAATTGCTGGTAACTTGTGCACAGATGGTAAAGTAAACGATCGCACATAATGATAAAACAAGACAGTTTTTGGAAAACTAAAGTTGATCTTAAGATTTCAACATTATGCTTACACGGATTATTAGTAAACATAGATGTTTTTCTACGTGATATATATACAGTTTTTTTTCATTTAGACAATATATAGATGTAGATAATGAACAATACATAGGATATTTTAAATTATATTAAAATCAAGGTTTTGAAAATAATAAGTTAATCAATTAAAAGTTAACTTAGTTAATTTTAAATGTGTTAACTTTAAAATAGTTTTTTCTTAACATTAATTTTTTGGCTAAAATATAATCCATCAATCTTAAAGTATTGCAAGCTTCTAATAATGTAGAAGAAAAATTAAAAAAAATAATAGAATTTCTTTTATCCCTCTGAACTCTGGAGTGTTCTTTTTTTGTATATGGGATCCTGAACAACAAAACAATCTGACAATTAAATAAATTTAACTTTTAATTGAAGTTAATATATGGGTATATTTAACTTTGAAGATAGGAATATCACCAAAGAATTTTTGTAAACTCTAATTTGTTTAGGAAACAACGTTTACAAATTTATATTATTTATATTCTAAAGATGAAATGAAAATATAAATTTCTCTTAATTTCTGAGCAAGCTCTCTACTTGTACGTTCTCTATTCATAGTTTACTCATTGTCTACATAGTTGTTTACACGTAGCGTAGACTGGTGTAACTTACACGTCAAATCCTTATTAGTCTTGCGCTATATATATTCAAAATGATTCATCATTGAGTTAACTGTGTAGTGTACTGTGGCTTATTACACAAGAATCAGCAATACACAGATAATTATCGATGATTTATTGAGAAATACTGCGTTTATAAAACTTATAACTTTGGTAAGACTATTACAAGAGAGTCTCATACATTGAGCCTGTACGTTCAACCCAAATCGAATCTTATACATACCTTATCGAGAAATTCTGCATCTTTTTGCTGAGAAAACGTAGTACAAATTTTGTGCCTTCTAAATTAGTATCTCTAAATTAGTTATTAAAACATACAAGTTACCCATCTTTAGAAGAAATGCAGTTCGTACATCTAAAAAGTTAGTTTTCAGACATTGGTCGCTCAACATACAATTCCTTTCGCAAGGAGATTTACGTGAACATTTTAGGAGAAAATACGGCTTCTTTATAAAATTTGTAAATGTAATCAAAATTCACATGTTAGACATTTTGGATTTCACTGTTCATTAAACTTCTTACAAAATGTACCTCATCTTATCAATGCTCGATGATACAATAAATAATGAGAATGATGTAGAAAAAACATTCTACATCGAGCGTAACTAGATCGAAAAGTATAATATATATATATATATATATATATATATATGTATGTATGTATCATTTTGATATGTGACCAGCAAATATGCATATTCGAGCATTATTCAAGATAATAAAGTACTATTCCATAGATTTCTATAGACACGATGCAAAATTAATGTCGACTTTTAAAACATATGGTGCTACGCATAGACGCATACATAAACAAATAATAAATCGCTCTTGCTTTTCTCTCAGAACAGAGGACCAATTCCTATGACAGGTTAGTTTAGTACACTAATTTACATAAATGCTATAATTCTGTATCTACATACAATTTCTGTAGCGTGTGTTGTCGAATATTCTTAATTTAAAGCCAAATCCATGCTCATACTTATCCTTCGCTCTCACCGTCGAGTTGATAGTGATAACGTCGAAGGGCAGCTAGACGTAGTCTTTCGGTTCCTAAAGCTTGTTCCAATTCTAAAATTCGCACCTGCGCTTCCATCTCTAATCTTTTAGCCTGGTGTAAGCTAAGGCTTGACATATCCATGTCTTCTGCATAATCGAAATAAAATGATAATATCAGTGATTCATGATGCGATACGAGATGAACCCAGAAAGCACAATGTCCAAAATCGGGTCATAAGACGTCTTTAAAACATCTTTAAGACATCTTTAAGATAAGTTTATAAAGTATTGTCTTAAAGATGTCTTAGGGACATCCTAACGACGTCTTATAACTCGATTTTGGACATTTGTGCTGTCTGGGAAAATATCTAAATAAATTTTGAACACATACCATTTTCCTCGACAAGATGATTGCAACTTTTAGCAGTGGCAACAACATTCGCCGTAGCTTGAGTCACTTCTCTTGATGCTTTGGAAAGTTCAGACAAATTGTTACTGTTTCTGTCAGCCTTAACTCTGCTAGCGACTACCAATTGCGCGGTGGACGCTGCAATTCCTTGAGAGGCAACGACTAACTGCTCGAATTTACCATTGCCCAATACAACTTTATCTGCTGCTTCTCTGTACGACAACAAATACGTATATGCATGTAACGATATTTAGAAAAATTATATTTATATCATTTTGTACTATTTTATTATATTTTACACTTACAATAGGAAGTTTGCACCCATAGCAATCGCTTTTGCCGCCGAAATAAGGCCCTCAGACCATTGATGATTGCGTTTATAAAATTCAGTAGCCGAAGCGGTTCCCTAAACATACAATTGATAAATACAACTTCTCTGATAACAAATCACTTTCGTGATATCTTATAACGCGATATCTTGAAGTAAACATGAAAATTTACCACACCTTTCCTTGTTCCACGATTTCTTTCTGCAATAAGCGAGACTTTTGTACTAGTTTCTTTATATATTTCATCAGCTCCGTACAAGAATCCAAAATTTGCTCGTTTACTTTCAATTTCAAGCCCGAGTCCGCTGCGCGTGATTTATCCAACATATCCTATGGAAAAAAAATCAGACAAGTCGTCGCAACTATTTCTTGACTTTCCCATCATGCATGATAACAAGCTTAAATTGAGCACCTGTATTCTCATAACTGCTTCCTCTATAGCTTTATCCATACTCAGCAACTCGTTTTCCACTAAAGAGCCAATAATCTCCACGTTATTCTGTGTAGTAGATAATGTACTTATAAGAGACGAAATCTTCTGCAATTGATTTTTGACATTCGCGATTTGTGTCACGGTCATTGTAGACTTCTCCTTTATATAACTCAGCATAATTAATCCTTGCGAACCTAATTGCTTGCATTCATCGGCAAATCCTACAAATATATAATAGTTTTATATATGAAAAGAGAGAATTAAATTTGCCACAACAATATTTTATGATTCAAACTCAAGTACATCCAAAGATAGACAACAGTTTTCCTCTAAGGCCCTTATTCTGAACTTTCTTTTATTAACAAAAGTAATAATGTGCTAACAAGTCAATCAGAAGTCACATTGATAGACATTTTTATAGATAAAAAAGAACTCAGAATAAAGATCTAAATATTCAAGGCATTATTAATAGCGTCTAATGATTATAGAAAAAGACTTACTATCGGCTAAACTAATATCCGTCGATGTATTTGAAGTAGATTTTGCATATATCAAATAGAGAGCCAGAAGATGTGCGCCGTGTATAGCGGCGCGGATCAGTCCTTTTCCCTTCGTTGTATCGGATATATAATTGTTATACGCCTCCTCCAAATCATTCAAAGATTTCTCCGTTGGCTCCAGAGAACCACTGAGATAATCAGGCGTACAAGTTAACGCGGATATCGCCGGACTATCGATCGCATTCATCGCATGATGCAAAATTGATTCCGCTTCTGATATAGCATTCACTGAAACAAATAACTTTCGCTCGCAATTCTCCGTACGAATAAAGAGTCTTAACGAGAGAACGATCGAATCACTTCGTTACTCACGTAACAAATCGAACAAGGCTGTGTTGGCGTCCGTTTTCACTTGATTGCACGATCGTTCAGCATCAGCTTCCAAATTCGCCATTCGCAGATCCAGCTCTTCTTTTTGCACCAGCAAGTCATGGAGGTCTCCTTCCAGAGCAGTTTTCTCAGACGTGATAAAATCTATCTTCGCTGCTAATGCCTATGATATGTGCATATTTTTTGCTCAGCATTCGCGTATCACCGTATATACGTTGAGAACCTTTACTCACTAAATTTTCCGTTTGGACACTGTCGAGCTTTTTCCTCACGTCGTCCAGATCTTGGCGCGCCTGCATTACTCTTTGAGCTTCTTGTTCCGCTGACGTTTGTCCTTGTAGTAGTTCTTGCAGTCGTTCTTCGGCTTTCAACGATCGACGTTCGGATTGCTCCCGTAATATCTTTATTCCTCCTAGTTCCTTGTCTAGCTCAGCTTTCTTTCGTGCAATAATGAATAACGTTGTAAATATAGGAGCGGAAAACATACAATAGATGATATTTTCAATATCAGCCAATATCAAATACCTTTCTGATTAAACCGATATGTTCTTCTCTCAATTTTGAATAGACATCCTTGAGTTTTTTGAACTTTTCCTCCAATACTTCACTTTTTCCTTAAAACAGTTTGTTGCACGCGTCAACGTGCAAAATAATTATTATTAATTGTACAGAATCGTAATTTTTAATAAGTGAAATTATAAGTAATTATTTTACTTATACCTTCAATTTCTTGTAACTTTTCTGACATATTGTTTTTCTCTTTCATTAGCTCTTGACAAGTTTGTTTTTCCACCACAATTTCATTGCTCTAAAATATTTATGTGATATAAAACACAAGTCGCAAGAAGATAGAACCAAAGATAGAAGATAGAACCAAATTATCAAGACTGATAATAAACATACTTTAGTAGAAAGAGTCGATTCCAGTTCTAGAACGCGTTTTCTAAGTTCTGCAACTATCTGTTGATGTTCCATCAGTAAGCGATGTAGTTCTTGTCTTTGGCGACCGTTCTCTTGATATAAATGATCGATAAGACTGTCCCTGAGAGTTGCATTTGTTTAAAGAACATCTAAATATATTAATTTCCTAAGAGTAATTATATAGTCTTGAATATTTTTAGATTTCCGCGATGTGAAGAAATGTTTGATCTAGCTTTCAGGTTGGTGGTACGCGTCTTTCGTGGATTTCACGAAGGATCCCACAGGACGCGGCACCACAATCTGAAAGCCAGATCAAGTAACGTATATAATTCTCTGTAAGAGATTCTAAAAAATTGGGAAAACATAGATAAAACGGATTGAGCTTAAAATACAATGACTAAAATACTGGCACACTTCTACTGTACTCTTAAATGTTATTTTCGATTTTGCTTTGCGCATTTCTCACATATTACAAATTCACTCACATTCTACAAATGAAATAGACTGTAGCTCAAAATGCATGACTGTCACTAGTCAAGTGTTATTGCGTGTCTGTTGTCCAGTTTATATCAAGACGAAAGAAAGCTAGATAAGATAAACGTGAATCCTATACCTTTCTGCAAGGGCGTCGGGCGATATTGCGCCATTCCGCGTAGAATCTATCTGATCGCCAGTCAATGATCCTGCGTCGGACGTATCAATAAGGCTTTCTATGACAGTTTCATTATCTAAAGATTCCTCAGGCGGAAGTACCACTATTGGTGTAACGTACGTTCTCAGTTCAGCTTGTATTAAAAAATTCGGTGGATTCTGCAAAATATATGCAGAAAATACAATAAAACAAAAAATTGTTGACGAATTCGCATCAATTGATTATCGATAACGGTTACCTCGGGTAACGAAGGTATTGTTATCAAATGTTTAAAATACTGCATGTGTTTAATAGTATTGTAGAAGCTCTTCAATTCATGAAATTGCTTAGAGAATCTATCACGGTGTCCGGTTAACGTGTCTGCCGGTAGCGCACCGTGAAGCTTGAATAAAATCTTTACGCAATAATCATAGAGTTGCGAAGCGTCCTGAATGCATGGAATTAGAGGTGCGAGTCGACACTGACCACAGGGTGTCATCGAATTGGACCGTGACAGGTCCAGAGAACCAAACACTGTAATTTCATATAAAGCTCAATAAAACGCATGCACATTGCGATGAAAGTTCGTATCTTAAGAGAGAAAATATTTATACTAGTGCAACTCAAAAATCTACACACAGAAAAATATCATTCTACTCCTTAAAAAACGACTATTCATTTTACATTTCTTCTTTATGACAGTGGTACATCTACTTGAGGAATCTTTAGATGATGAAATAATGATTATCTTCAGCAAAGAATATTTTCCTGATAATAGTTTTACGATTATCTACTATCACATCAAATTTAAGAAAAATGTATTATTATGCACTCAAAAGAAGAATTTATTCTCTTTACAAGAATATTATAAAATTTTATCGAAAAAAATTAATTTAACTCTACATAGTAAAAGCAAACAAAATTTTTACTTTAATATTCTTGATTGAATTGCTAAACTTATTGGAATTCAGATTGTATTTGGAAAAAATTTTATGCTTATGATAGATTTGTATATAAACTTATGAAATATTTGAAGCAAGTAATATTTATTTGATTGAATGCAGTATGCATTTTTCTGTATGCGTGTGCGCGTGTGATATGTCAATTTGTTTCTATTTTAACTCACCCGCATGTTGCAAATTCAAAATGTCATCCATGTAATCAAACATTTCAACAGACATTTGGAAACTAAAGAAAAAGAAGATAGGATAGAACAGTTCATGTGTAAGTGTGCATATTGAAAGAGAATCAAATAAAGGGTGAGAAAGATGCAACTTACTACACATTGATATCATTCTCTCCAATGGCTTCTAACTCTTCCGACGTGACTTGTAGATTTCCAGGTAAGCGCGGATTTCGTTTGTGGTAATCCAATTTGGTAATTAACAATCTTGTGTATAGCTGTATGAGACGACCGTAGCCCTCTCGAAGATGTTGCCAGAGTTTACCAATGTCCTCTAATTTTCCGCGATATCGTTGAGAGTCGATAATGACCTTAGGGTGTCCTTCGCGCAATACTTTATGCAGAACATGACAAAATTTCCACGCAACAATCTGATTCTCTTGTAATGGCTGCTTCAACATGTATGTCCAAAAAATAGAACCACTTTTCTCTCGATATGTGCCAATAATAGCACCTTTTTATTTATAAGGAATTTTTTTCTTAATATAATTGCTTAACTATTGCTTTTATATATGCATACATTAGAGAACAAGATACAGGTAAAAAAGGATACTTCGCACATGTTTCTCCTTTACAGGAGTTTCTGCAGCATTTACAGCTTTCCCGATACTGATACTCTATAAAAATTAGAAAAAGAACTTTTTAGATAAAAATCAGAAATTAATTAGGGCAATATAAAAGTTCTAACACAAATAAAATTTCTCCCACATCGCATGAAGAACTATCATTAACATTTTTATTAGTTTTTTATTGCACTGTATCATCTGTGTTAGAACTCTCTTACATTACCTTAATTTAATTTTTGATACTCTATAAATCATAAATATACATGTAAGAAACAAAAACATCAATTTTGATATTGTGTATTGAGCTTGAGATCATAATTCAATGGTTTTAAAATTAATGTGTATATATATATATATATATATATATATTGAGATATCATCCAAATACCCACAATTAATTCAGATATCATTATAAAATAATTATAAAACAAATAACACTATATCTTGTAACTCACCAGTTGATGGAGCTGCTTATCAGTCAGTGGTATTGTAGACGTCATAATGATAGCATAATAAATTTACCAGAAAAGACAGACCAGAAAACACATATACAAAGTAATATATACTAATTAATACACATGAAAGGATAATATTTGTCCATTTAAAGGTTGGTGCAAATCATTTTCAATGAATGCAAATTGCACTTTTACAGTTGCATATATTATCTGCAAAACTATATATATAACGATTGGAAATTATTATTATTATTAACATTCTTTGTTGATTGAGAAAATACGTTATTGTTTCTCATTACATACAAATATAGAATGACACGTTTCAAATGTCGTTTGACCTTAACGAGATTGACATACCTGAAATCTCTGGAAGTCTGTAAAACTGATGTTAGATCCAAACACTTGCTGCTTGCAAATTTGTCGTGAGAACAGCGAAGACATGTTCAATCGACAACGCACGAGAGATATCGCTTCGTGCATCGAACGGAACGGCCTACGAGCGTGACAACTGTGAATACATTATTCCACGAGTAACTGCGGTTTCATTGATGGGTGTTGATACTGAGATGATATATAAAGCGCATCTATAGGGATGTGGCAGTGCCCTTCGTCGATGTGTTTTCGAGATAATTGTTTATCTGGACGCAAATCTACGCTCTCCAGTTGCTTCAGCGAATTTTGTCACGTATTTAAAAACGATTGACAGCAAAGATGATAGATAATGGTACATCAACGACCGTGATAACAAATACTACACTGTACCGCACGGACGAACGCAACACCGGAAAACTATTCGCGAAATGCATATAGAGGTCTCGGGTGAACGGTAACGCTATGGTGTTGCCATCTAATGGTGCACGGCACCAACGTAGAAGCAGAGAGAAGCATAAGAGCGGCCACCAGCCTGATTTCAATGGCCAGAGCTAGATGCATTTTCGAGACGCCAGGTGCATTTTGTCGTTACCACCGCAAAAATGTGCCTAACAAACGTAGTAAAGACGCGCTTTGTTAGATGGCGTCTCGAATAGCTCTGGCCACTAAAATCAAGCTGGTGACCGCTCTCAGACTTCTTTCTGGTAGAAGTGAGCAATGTCCGGTCGATAGATCGATATATATATTCTACGAGATATAATTTATTAGTAGAAAGAATATGAACTTCTTCTATCGCCGAATACATAGGATCAGACAAATTATTTGAAAATAAAAAGATCATCTCACTTTGCCCCCTTTAAATTTTTATTAATTATAAAGTTTATAAAATAATTAATTAGAATGAAAGCGGCTTGTCGTCATCTAATGTCTTGATTGTTATTAAAGTCTCCGCCAACAAACCGTCATCTTTTCTACTAATAAATCAATAGCGGATAAAATAGACTTTATTTTTAGTTAGTACTGCTTATATAGAAAACTTTTGTTTGTATCATGATTAAAGTAAGCTAAATAAACTTGTTTTTATTTATATCTAATATATTTGATCTAATTTGACATTGAGTCTACTGAAGTCCTTTTTAATTTCTTTTTAGACGTTTCCAGAATATTTTTTTCTACTTAAAAAGTTAAAAAGTTAAAAAGTAAAATTTAAGCACACTTATATATTTCATTTGTAACTATTTTCTTTGCTTTTTACTTTATTTGTATAAATGCATATTGTATGTATTAGTTAAAAAAGACCAGAAATTATAAATCTACTGTATAGAGAGTATTATTTTCAAATTATTAATAACTATTTTGTGTATTTTATGACCAGACAAATCTATAATAAAAGAATGATTTTACAATTAAATATACATTATATTTATGATATAAAATAATTTTTATAAATATTATATGCACGCAATATGTACACACACATCATTATCACATTAATCATTACATATGATTAATATCATTATATCTTGATATATTGATACATTATGTGTAATGAATTAATGCTTTATATTATTTATTATTATAATTATTAATTTAAATAGTATAAAGATTAAACTATTATTATCAATAGTTTACACAACAGTTTAAATTAAACTATTACTGAACTATTATTTTTTATTAAACTGTTATTAATTGTGTGATAATTGCTTCTACATTACACACACACACACATACATTTGCTTAAATTTTAACTGCTATATTTCTCGATATATTCTACATTTTTATGAAAAAAATTGTAAAAGAAATTAATACATTATAATTCATCAAATTAATTTTCGTATCAGATGACTGTAGTTCATTATTCATTAGGATGACCAATAAACATATTTTAAAATATTACTATAATTGCTAAATAATTCCAGTTAATTACAGAAATAATTAAATATTAATGATACACACGATAAATACCAGAATCTTAAATCAAGTATTTGTCAATTTTAATAATAAACAGATAAAATAATACACAGCCATTTGAACAATCACTGAATATAAAATTACTTCTATTTTTTGCAAAATTTAACTTATTATATATCGTGCACGAACGTATCATAAATATATTAATATAACAAAATATATAATATTCATATATGTTTATATAAATCCAACATGAAATGTTTAGAATTCTATTATAGCACAGTACTTGTAATTATAGACTGTATGACACATTGACAGCTGAATGATTATTATGTAACATACATCGTAAAACTTTTGAAGAGTCATAATTATTATGTTTTATGTCTCACGAGGAACAAGTGCATTAAATTCAGGCTGAAGAAACTCTGTTATAATAGCTGACACCATCTCACTGAGTATATTCTTCAACTTGTTTAAATCCCTAAAATCAAATTATAATATTATTTAAGGTAACACGAAATCTCACAAAAATAAATAATACTGTTTATGTATGTATTGTTTATGTAATTATGTTTATGTGTATTATAAATAAATAGTATAAATAATATAATACTAAAATGTCTATGTGTATATATACCAGGATTGAAGAAGTTGCTTTTTAAGCTATCCTTATCATTACTCAAAAAAATAACCAATCATTACAATTTCCATTGCTTTTTTCACCAAAACTTGAGGATCTTTTTTTACTACGATTCGTTTGCGCTCTTCTCAAGTATATCTTATATTTGCTATCATACATGTACAAAATAACAATAAAAGTAACGATTATAGGAGAAAACCTTTAGTAGCCAACATTTGTTACAATCCCCTGTTTCCAGCACACTTGCATGGATTCCACCCAATATAAAAATGTACGGGTATCTATTTTAATTACTTATTAATTATTATTGATTATGTATTATTCTTTTAAATTTCCATATATTTTAATATCTGACATCCGCATAAGAGTGTAAACTTTGACGTTTTTCCCTACTCGTTATCGTTAGAGATCGTCTATAATGTGGTCGCAGTTACGAATTCAATAAAACTTTTCATTTTTCACGAATTTACATGAAGGAAATAAATAGATGATCACAGACTACTGCTACAACTTTAAAACGCAACAATTAGACGATTCATTACTCAAAATGTATAATTACGTTATCGTAATTTATGAGAATATCGTTATTTACGAGGAAAATGTAACATATGGAAAAGTAACTTATAAGAACTACGACGTTACGAGTAGCTTGTTAGTTCTCATTCCTGTATATATATCACATTAACGACAGAATTTAATACTTTAATATGATAGAGATCAATATCTTAGAATTAAGCAAGATAAGATAAATAAATATTTTTACGAGCACTGTCTGCGGATAACTTACTTTTCCTCGGGCGATGCGCATAATTCATTGTAATATTTTATTTTAGGTTCTGTCCCACTGGTTCTCAATGTAGTGACTAAACCATTTTTAAATGTAAATGTAATCATTTGGCTAGACTTTGATACAGGAAGAGCTGCTTTATTGTCAAGTTTTGTATTGTCATATCCGGTTGTTAAGTCTCGAATGCCAGTAATTAGATATTTTCCCTCCAATATTCCGGTTGGATACTGCAATTAAACAAATTACGTTGGAGGTTTTATGAAAAAACAAAGAAATACGATTTAATTGCATGATATATATTCACATATTGGAAAAATATTCATATATTAGAATTATTTGCTTTCTTAATTTTTAGATTTTTAGATCAGTTTTTCACTAATTATACACTTACACTGTATTTATAGCTGTTGTTTCTGTAAAAAACGGCGTAAGATGATATAATGACTGCACTACTGGTATAATTAAAACAGCAAGAAATAAAGAAGGCAAAAGGGTCAATGATGTAACAGCCATATCTAGGTATTTGTTGCAGATATCGTTTGATGATATTTTAGTATGCATTGTAAAACAAATTAAAAGTGTAAAAGTTTGCAAATTAATTTTTTAAAAGCCTTCGTTGGTCGTGTTGTTATTACACAATACGTTATTGTGATTAAAGCACAAACCAAGTTATTAGTCGAATGTAAAAGTGATAAATCAAATGAAGAACATATTCTAATACGAAACACTATTGTAATTTTATAAATATCACTTGCGACACTTTGTATTTACATTGTATTTATTATTTAATCGCGCGCGTGACAAGACAGCGACACAACTATCGCCTCAAATGGTATTAACACAAATGCAGCACTTGGACTTTACTACACTTGATACAGTGGTTAGTCACTTTATGCTATCTCATGCGTTACATACATAGATCTATTGACCTTGTGAGATATTGTGTGTGCATATATATATATATACACTCTGTTGGATACATATTGAAATATAATAACTACACAAGATTCATTGTGATTGTATTGGAGTATTTACCCAGGATGCAGTTAATATAATTTACTACAATCTGCTATCTTTGTATTATATATACTTAAATTAATTGTTGCTAAGAGATAAGTCTCTCCAACTAGATACAATCAAATATGATTTGATAGTAAGTCTTTCTAATTAGTCATAAATCAAATATGATTTTTACAGACAAAAGCATATAATCTAACAGAAGCTTAAACCATCTAATATAAACTTATAAAATGCTAGAATCCTAAACAAAAAAATTACATAAATTCTAAACATGAAATTTTACCCAGCGCATTTTCATTTGCTCATAACTTCCGAAGAAATGATCAAAACTGCATTCTGTTTCATATATATGCATGCATTCTTTATAGTATACATGATATGAACTACAGATAAATGCGTGCATAATGCATGAAATGAACCACGGAAACGGAATTCAATCTTTTTTTTTCTTAATCAGTGTAGAAAATCAGCGTAGAGGAATATGAATCTATTAATATTTTTGCGATTCAATGAAATTGAAAAAAATTGCGTTATGAAGAAACGAAACACATATTCTCAAAAACGATAACGTTTGAAAAGTTGGTTTGGATAAATTTTACCTATGTTTATAGGGTTCTAAGGTTGAGATACTGCAAGATATGTAATTATTTATGAATCTTGATTAACAAGCTCAATCTTACGTTTGTAAGTGCGATATTGCATTTCTTCTCGTGTAAACTTTTAGTCAAGTTAATGTAAAAATGTAAAACGCGATAATTAACAAATTAATATATTCTTTGTTATTTTAAATATTTAGACAATACTTTCTTAGAAAAAGATATTGTAAAAAGATGATAATAACACTTACTGTATTCGGTTTGCCATGATAATTTCTCAATCGCTCAAATATTGCCTTGATGGTGTTCGGTTCGTGACATATCCAATAGGAATTGTCACTAATGTGATGGCCGTATCTACATGTTTCATTAAATAATTAGTATTGATTGTATTAAGGTAAAAGTTACTTTCAGTTTCAGTTCACATACGTACTCTATATATATTTCCTGTAATTTATCAGACAAGGTCAAGCCTAACATCTCAAGATAGGCTGATAATTCAGCTACGCGTACACCGGCGCTGATACCGTCCTTATCTAATACTTTCGTGCCACACATGAAACCTATAGCTTCTTCATATGCGAAGAGTACATCCTTACCTTCCTTCATTAGCTCTACAGTTTTATTACCCATCCATTTAAAACCTGTTAAGGTTTCCTGTCAACATGAAAAAATGATATTTGTTAGATCATTTCCTACTCAAGTAACAGAAACTTCTGAAAGAAGTTTTATTTCTCCAGTCATTTTTTAAGTGACTTTAAGACATCTTTTAGAAGTTTCTTCTAGACATCTTCTGGACATTTATGTTATGTATCGAACATTATAATTCACTACAAAATCATGCCAAACACACAAACCTCAAAGTTAAAACCTTCCTTCTTAGCCATCGAAGCTAGAATCTTGCTAGAAACAGTTGATGCTAACATATATGCATTGCTCAAATCAGCTTGAGGATTTGATACTCGATGAGTGTGCATCATCCACCAACCCAGTAATGCGCCAAGTTCATTTCCCGAGAACACATGCCACTCTCCGCTACGAAAGTCGTTCAATATACTATCATTATTTAAGATAAATTTTACAATTATTGTGTTTACAAACCTCTTTGTCTTTGTCGCGCATGCAAGTCTATCGGCATCAGGATCATTAGCAAGTATAATAGACGAACCGCTATTATTCGCTAGTTTTATACTGAGATCAAGAGCACTTTTTCCTTCTTCTGGATTTGGGTATTTCACTGTGGGAAATTCTGGATCTGGCAATTTTTGTTCCTCGACTACCAAAAACGGCTGTAATTTCGAGCAAACAATAACTACGAGTAATTAATTGCTCTAGAAATGTTTCTAATGTTGATATATAAACATACTACCTTAAAGTTTGCAACATTAAATGCAGATTTCATGTAATCATATCCAACACCATGCATGGCAGTGTATGTAAATTTCAATGTGGTATTTCCATTAAGTTCAGGATACAGAATATTATCCTGCAGATCTTTGTAATAACATTCTGCAATATATGTCGTTGGATCCATATTAAGAGGACTTTCATAAATTTTACTTATATCCCATGAAGATTCAAGTGGCTCGAGATTATTTAGAATATAGCTTTGAATCTTTTTATCATGTGGCGAAATGATTTGTGCACCATTTTGCCAATAAACCTTATATCCATTGTCATCTTTCGGATTGTGAGAAGCAGTGACCATGATGCCTGCTGCACACTTATATTTCAATATAGTGTATGGTATAAATGGTGTAGGACAGACTTTACGAAATAAGTACACCTTGATGCCATTGGTTATGAAGATTGCAGTAGTTAATTCTGCAAACCTGAAATAAGAAAAAGGAATATTCACAATTAATCTTCATATTATAATGCAATTTTTGATAACTTATACCAATTTGTTTGCATCAACATATAAAATATAACATATAAAGCCACTTTATAACATAGCTTTTTGCTCAAGTTATTGCATTATGGATTATTTACCTCTTGCTATTGTAACGACCATCATATCCTACTACAACGCCTTGCTCAGTCACATCAGATATTGTATCCATCAAATATTTTGTTAATCCTTGACCAGTCTGCACAATAACTAAGTCATTCATTTGGCTGTAACCTGGTCCCATATAGCCTCTGAGACCAGCAGTCCCAAATTCGAGTCTCTTGAGAAACAACTTTGATAATATTTTAATATCTCCATTATTCAAATGTTTAGAAATTTCATCTTCTGCTTTTGGATCCTATGATGAATTTGTACAAATACTGTATAATTGAAATCCTTTTACTTATTAAATACATCTGTATCCAACTTGTTAATATAAATACCTTGTTCCATTGCAGCCATTCGGTGATCTTAGCATCTAGATTATCATCACCAGTATTCACTGAATATTTGGGAGCCATGATAACAAATTGTATATCAACTCTAATATGTAAATTAGACCGATATTTTCGTCAATATGAGTAAATTCACCAACAAAGATATTAACATAACTCTCTTCCCAGAAGTACTAATGTCTTGATTATCCTTGCACACAATCGAGGGCAGCTTTTTCGAGTCTTCTATAATACACAAACATGTGAGATATCAATTGTGATCACAAATTGCGAAACGACTGATAACTGTTCGACGCGAGATAACAGCGAAACAACATATCAAATATATGACTACATGAATCCTATTAACGAGTATAACTGATTCGTCGCGTAATTTTTTTCAAATTCAACGATGAATCTGAATTTTGAGAGACGCGTCGTATCATTTAGTCGTCTTACAATTTTAACGATATACGTACAGGTTACGAGCTGTCACGAATTCCGTTCATAGCCTTTCCTGATATGTAATTTATAAATATTTTCCGCCGTTATCGCACGAGACTTATCGTCTTAACCCGAAAAACAAAAGTATCGTGGAAACCATTTGAATTTACCTCCAGCTACATCAAGTCATTAAAGAGTTTATCGTCCATCTATAGAAACGTTCGGATTCATCAGCAATACCGATACAATACTGCGCTACGATCTAAATACTCACCGACTGAATGCACGCGTGATTCTCGCGCACGAGCGCGAGATTATTAAATTTGCACAATTGCGACGAGAACCTTGATTCTTATATCTCACTATGCGGTGAAGCGTGGATTTTTTTTCAAGTCACGGCTCGCCTTTTGAATACCAATAAGACTGATTCACGATACAGGCTTTTTTTTAAATGAATTATAGCTTGAAAACACAAGGGCGTGAGAAGAGAACGTAGTTTCAAGATTTTCCTCAACGATTTAAGTAAATACGACACGCACACTTAGTATTGTAATGTAACGTAACATTCCTATAAATGTCTCAGACTTATATTAATAGTCATTACTTGAAATTTGTCTCACGTATGTGGGATACTCAGAAATGAATTTAGATTTGAGTTTTTCCACTTAAATCACGCAACACATGCGACATTACATTTGCAATCGCGATTTAGCTAAAAAATAAGACAACTAGCTCTAAATTTAAATCTATCTCACCTGAGGTAGATAGACAAAAACAAGCAGTTAATACGCAGCTCTGAAGCACGTGAAGTATGTATTTTTGTATATTAAGTAGACTATTTTATACATCTGGCGATTATAATTTTGAAAATGGATTCTTCGATCGATTTGACATAAATAATTATAGAAAAGAAATGGTTATAACAATTACTTGTACGTAAGATGGTCGTTTGAAAGAGCTTTGTTTTGAATTAAGCGCGTTTCCTTTCAGCGAATCGATAGAGCGAACGATAAGCGATAATCGTGGGGGCCTGTGGCATACTTCGGCGCGCTCGGTCATATGATCTTCGTGAAAAAGGGCGAGCTCCCGTGAGTTCCCGTTTCGATTTTGACGGATCTGCCTGTTGTACAGACTTGCTCGAAAAAAATCTCGCCTCGAGATGAAGGGCTGCATGTTCAACATCGACGGTGGCTACCTGGAGGGTCTGTGTCGCGGTTTTAAGTGTGGCATACTCCAGCAGAGCGATTATCTAAACCTGGTTCAATGCGAGACACTCGAAGGTATTTAGATCCAATTCGTTCTGTCGCTTTTGGGAATTTCATTCCTATATCGGTTTGCATTTGTGTTTCTTCAACGAGAAAGAACCTCTCCTTGTTACGAATAATTCATTGCTCAAAGAGATTTAAAATATTTTACAAAGATCCATTTTCCTTGTTCTCTTCGCGATATCACATGACTATATCAAGCACGATATATTAGCGTCTTTCATTATTCTCTTCTCTAGATTGGATTAATCGATCGATTAATTATTTGTACAGATCTGAAGCTGCATTTGGCTGGTACAGACTATGGTAGTTTCTTGGCGAATGAGCCATCTCCACTTTCTGTCAGTGTGATCAACGACAAGTTGAGGGAGAAATTAGTCGTGGAGTTCCAGCACATGCGTAATCATTCAGTCGAGCCACTGTCACAATTTCTGGATTTCATCACTTACAGCTATATGATTGACAATATCATTCTGTTGATCACTGGTACTTTGCATCAAAGACCTATTTCAGAGTTGATCCCGAAATGCCACCCACTTGGTAGTTTTGAGCAAATGGAAGCGATTCATGTTGCTGCCACACCTGCTGAGCTATATAATGCCGTATTGGTAGACACACCTTTAGGTACAGTCTTAATTTGAATTATATTTCTCACTTGTGTCTTATTTCTTACCAATAAATAAGAGCTAACTACAAAGTTAAATATAATTATGTTATTGTTATTAGTTAGTTATATATTACTTATAATATACTAACAATCCAGAAAGATTAAATGCAAATATAATTAAAATTTCATATAAATATATCCATGTTAGTTAATGTCAGTATATTGTAAATAAGTTTTTTACTTGCTCTCTTATTTATTATTTTTTAAAATTAACCCCATATATATAAATCACTTTTTTAATTTTGAATCACTTATAATATGTTTTATCTTCTTTCCTCTTCCTTCTCCTCCTTTTCTCTTTCATATGATAACATTAACAATGTTATCATTGTATTTCTAAGCAAGCAATATTTTTATATTCTTTATATTTTTATATTCTTTCTTTACAGCACCATTTTTCGTGGATTGCATTTCTGAGCAAGATTTGGATGAAATGAATATCGAGATAATAAGAAATACACTCTACAAGGCTTATTTGGAAGCATTTTATAAATTCTGCAAAGAACTTGGCGGTACAACTGCAGACACCATGTGCGAGATACTTGCTGTAAGAGAATTTATCCGGTTAAAATAATAAGAGTTTATTTTCCTTGAGATATGTAACACGTCTTAGATGTTTTGATAGTTTGAAGCGGATAGAAGAGCGATCATTATAACCATTAATTCGTTCGGAACTGAATTGGGTAAAGACGACCGCGCGAAACTGTATCCACGTTGCGGACGTTTGAATCCAGATGGATTAGCGGCTTTAGCAAGGGCCGACGATTACGAGCAAGTCAAGGCTGTAGCAGAATATTACGCGGTAAGATCTTAAATATTAAAGTTTTTGATTGAATAATTGTTAATTACAAAATTACATATTGTCTTCTGCAAACTCTTTAAGTACTGATTTGTATAATTTTTTCATTATTCAATATTTAAACAGGAGTACAGCGCCTTATTTGAGGGAGCAGGCAATAATCCTGGTGATAAAACCTTGGAAGACAAGTTCTTCGAACATGAGGTAAGTTAATTTTTCGTGAGAATTTTAAGACAACGTTTAATTAACGTGCAAGCATTAATAAGTATGGTATTTTTTTTATTACATGTTTTTAACAATTTTCATATTTTGATTTACAGGTTCGTTTAAACGTTCATGCGTTTCTTCAACAATTTCACTTTGGGGTATTCTACAGCTATCTTAAATTGAAGGAGCAAGAGTGCCGTAATATTGTATGGATCGCGGAATGCGTAGCTCAGAAGCATCGTACTAAAATAGACAATTATATCCCTATATTTTAAATTATATGATCGAGTCGGCAATGTCAGTCATCTATATTTACTTTCGTAACAACAACGTTTACGATGAACCAGTTGATTAATCATGATCTATTATCTATTTCATCAAGTCGGTTATGCCTTCGATTCCATAACGCAAATAGCGCACCATTGTATAATGTTTCGATCGAATTGATTTGCTAATTGTTTTAGAAAATAATATTCGCGTGAAGTTTTATTTTTAAACAATGGAATATGGTACGTAAATATATGGTTAAGCACACACAGATGTTGAGAATTATTTAGAATTGTTATTGTCGCATATTCCAAGATTTTAAAACTTCCTCGCCGCGGTTATGTTGAACCGATATTTACTGTCAATATTGAAAATTTACAATTAATGTTGCGTATACTATAGATTTTCAGTGAACGGGAAATGAACATCAGAATGCAGCAATGATTGGTGAAATTTAAATATAAAGACTCAAAATTCTTACAGAATACTTTGAAGGGGAAAGATATGTCCATAAAATTGTGTATTCGAACGAGTAGATTTGTAAAGTGCTCCAAAAAGTTTTTCTTTTGTTCTAATAATCAACGAATCAGCCGCAAAATTAACGTAACATATGTCCTACTTTTTATATGCATTAATTATCATAATTCATGAATTATAATAACACATTTAATTTAATTATAATTAATTGCAATTTTAAATATATGTGATTTTAAAATTGTTAATTAGGATCGCGACGAGGAAGTTTAAAATGGTACAGTAGAATTTGTGTACATAGTGTATTTTATTGTAATCGTCAATGTAAGTCATTGTCACGTGTTATTTCATGTTGTAATTATCAATTCGAGAATTGTAATATAAAGTAATAAAAATATACAGCATTCCATATGATTAACAATGCAATTAATAATTGTCTAACTTTACATACAACAATATATATTATTGTAATCCTTCTTCTTTTTTGGCATTAAGCTAAAGCCAGAAAAACGTCTTATCAATAAAAAATTTGTCTTATCAGGATTACGCTTCGCGTATAATTCTAACAACAAGATTATCCTTTCACATACTTATCTAGATACATCTTTGCCCGCGTGTGGAATAACTTATTGTTACCTTAGTTTTACATTTTGAATCTACTGACGATTCTATTATAAACCTTTATAACATTTGTATCTATCTTGTAAATCTGTATGTCTTACATATTTAAATTTACTTTTCCTCACGAAGATGAAGAGGGAACTTTTTGTCACGCTGCTAAATATATATAATATTCTATTCATTTAGCAGAGCTGCTCCTGGCATAAAATTTTGTAAGATATATCTTCTAGATTTTTTTATTATATATTACCATAGATAGTTCGTCATATATTTATCATAGTGTTTACACCTATGGTGTATTATATAAGTATAAATAGTTTCTCACTTCAGTTCTATTTTTTATATATAAAAAAAAAGAAAACAAAGCACAACACTTACACTTATCTCCTACAATTACGTTCATTGTCGCACTGCATTCTATCTCCATCCGTCTCCCGATTTCTCTTAGAATGTACTTCCTCGTTTATTGAATTAGCGGCGTTAATCGCTTGCGTGGGTGGTGGTGGTGGTGGTGGAACATTGTTTACGTGCTTTATGTTTACAGTGGGCGATGGCGGCGTGGGTACCGGCATCGTATTTTTAATGCTATTCGCCAAGTTTGGTGGTTGATACGTCGCCAAACTCTTCAAACCAATCACTTCTGGGTTCTCTTTCCAAAAACGGTCGTTAATGATATCGTCTACCAAAGGGACCACAGCGGGTTTCAATCTTCCCGTACCATCGGGCACTAGTTTCCGAATAAGTGTTGTACCCTTTCGGAACAGCGGTGGCTCATTGTTATAGTTTATGCCAAACTCCTGAAACAGCAACTCGTTCTTGTGCGACGAAAGAGTGCCTCTTAGTTTTTCTTCTGCCTGCAATAAATAGTCTTCTTATTTAGTATTAATACTGAAAGAAAAGGAAGAGACAACAGAAAATTTTAAATTTTATATATATTTAAACGCTAAATCATTGTGATTAGTTATGATTAGAACCAAGTTTAAACGGGACTATTCAACAATTACACCACACAAATATTTTCTGTATCCCCTTCCTGTCACACTTTATTACAAAATTTGAGCCCTTTTCTAATATTATATAAAATACAGAATTATTTTCCCTCTCATATATAATAAGAGAAAATAACTATAAAAATAATCATATTGTAAGTAATAATTATTAAATTATGTTACTATCTTTTTCTAAAATACGAATAATTTTTCATATCAAATTACTTCATTTTATAATTTTAATTAAAGTAAAAGTGTTTTTGTTGTGTTTTTGTAATTATTTTTATAGAATATTTTTTAAGTGTAAAAATTTAGATATAGAATTGTATAATGTTGCATATTTTTTAGTCTTTCTTTTCCTAAATTAAGATTAATATATCATAATAATTAAAAGTAATATCCAAAATTGGCTGTAAATTGCAGAGTTATAATACAGAAAAGTAGAAATTAATAAACAGATTTTCAAACAAGAAAATCTCAATAACCATTTCTATAGATGATTTATATGGTATGACAAAGAGGATATATGATTATCGAGCTCTGTAATGAAATGTATCACTATTTAAATTTATACCTGACTTGGAGTTAGTTTTCCTTTTAATATGAGATTCCAGAAACAAGTATTGTACAAGTTGTTGACATGTACATCAGCTTGTCGCCAAGCCAGATAGTCTCTTAAATTTTTATCTGTTGGATACAATACAACACGAGCATCAAATGAAGGTGGATAATACAATTCTTTACCTCTTAAGAAGCGTGGCCAATGATATACATAAGCCGAAGTGAATAGAGAATTTACATTTGACATTAGTTTTGATGCTGAAACAGATAAAAAGACATTAGATATGAAAATTATACATTCATAGGTATAAAATTAAACAGTAACTAAACACAAAATCACAATATCACTTTGATGTTTTTATGTATTTTTGGTAGGAAAATGTTATAAATCAAGCTATTCAATTTTTGGAAAGCAAAATTGCTTTCAATCCAATAAATAAAGTAACAGTTGACAGATTTCATACACAACAATCATGAATAGAAAATCGATTTGAAAAATCGTTAACATTATGCTTATAATTAGATAGGGCCGAGTGAAAAAACTTTTCTTCGTGAATTAAGCGAATTTCATATGGTAACTATAAACAAGTACCTCTGCGTTTGTAGAGCTCCGTGTCTTTCCGGAAAACGAACGAGTACTCGTCACTCTGACCGAAGCCTAATATGATCTCCTTAAAATCTTCCATAACGGTGATCGCGGCGCGATTCATTAGCTCCAAAGCGGCTACATCGTTCGGCTTGACGAATTGATGTGTCTCGCAAAACTTGGAGAAATTCCTGCCGTCTATTCTAACCACAATCCAGCAGTTCGGCAAACAATGGTCGTCCCGCTCAAACTCCTTCACATACTCGAACTTACTTTTCGCCATGGTCGTAAGGCTTATGTATCGGCGCGAAACCACTTGTTTGCCCCGACTGATCATCCGCAGGAAGACGCTGCCCTTCATTCGTGCACGTTGTCAGAGTTGCATTGTCGCAGCAATGTCGCCGAAGCTGCGGCGCGCGGGGAGACCGTTGAACGCTATGTGGAAATCGTCGGCGACGAGCGACGTCGTTCAACTGGAAATCGTAATTCGTGACTCGCAGTTCGCCGTATTCCGCGACTCAGTGCAACGGAAACGACATGTGAAAATTACACTGCGAATAAACAGTCAACTTTCGGCCGTACGCAAAATTTGAAATCCCGGCTGTTGTGTATTGCGAATCGCCGCGCGGCGCCACGCCGGCTCCGAATGAATTCGAAATCTACTACGGCGATGCTGCTACCTACCGTTGCGAGCGACAATGAAATAAGACTAATATTAAGCCCTATGCACAATAATATTAAGCCAGACAATGGATGCCTTCAGCAGAGAAAGCTGCTTTGCAACTGTTGTAAAATTCGTGAATCTGATTGGAGTATGCTTTTAATTTTAGTTGAATCCAAGAGTATGTACCAATCAGATTCACGAATTTTACAACAGTTGCAAAGCAGCTTTTTCTGTTCAACGCAACCATTGGATGCTTTCCAGTTGCGTACACTGTGTTACATAAAACCAGTTTATTGATTGCATATTATCTTACAAAGTATTTTAGATAATATGGATGCTTTCCAATTGCTTAACACATCTTGACACATATGTACACAGAAATGAGTGTACATCAGTTGGACACGGGGCAATTGGACACAGTCCAATCACAAGTCGCTGTTTCAAGGGACCCTACAAATGTCTCTAAGTACACGGTGCTGTGATTGGCTGTGTCCAAATGCACCGTGTCCAAGTGCACCGCTCCCCACAGAAATGCACAAAGTGTAACGTTGTGCACGATTCAATTGGAACAAAGTGTGTACTAATGTGTACATATGTCGGGTAGGATTAGGATTATTTTTCAACTGTGCTTATATTTTGGTATTTTTTAATAATAAATAATAAAATCTAAATAATAAAAAAGATATCCACTTCACGTCGCAAATGCCAGTCTCTTTTCAAGCCGCTACGTTTATTAACTTTAATTGTCATTAGAAAACACTACGCAACCGACTAGTAGCCCTCGAGCTGAGTACGGATGTGTAGTGTTGTGTCGACGACAATTGGAATGCAACTTGTGTCGCCGTGTGCATAAAAGTGTCTAGGGATAGTGCAATTGGAAAGCCCATTGATTCCGCTCTCATTCCGTGCTCCGCTACTCCGTTACATGGGTTCGCACCCTTACAGGTAAATCATGTATCTGTCTCTGTCCAATTTGAACAAAAAAACGAAGACAGACGTATGATTTAACTATCAGATAGCTTACCAAAAGGTTGGAACAATCGGTCTTAATAGGACACCGGCCTCAGAAGGCATTCCTGTATGGATTCGATTCTCAACGCCGAGTCCATTTCTACGTCGATGGTAGGACCGATCAAACGTAGTCGTAGAGTGAATTTTATCGAGTTTATGAACGCACGTACGGTGACGTAACATCATCCGATCTGTAGCAGCGCCCTGATTGGTCGCCTAAGAGTCGTATGATCATTTGTAATTTTTTAGTTATTACGTTTGACATATCGATGTTGAGTAAAGCATTGTGACCGATTGACACGTTTATTTCATGTGAATAAATATTGAAGGTAGTAACTGAGCACAATGGCAGACCCAGGAGGATGGGTGCCGAACCAAGAGAATGATTTTACGAATTTCCAATCTAATGACAGCTTCAATTTAAACGAAGTCAGTGGCATTGATGGTAGGTGCTGTAACGTGTTATCTTTTCAATAAATATCCTATTGTATGTGTTTAAGTGAATCTTGTCACACACATGCTTCAACATTTTGTTTTCCTATCATTTTATTACTTAACATTTTACTACTCATCAATATCTTGTTTAACTTCACCTTACTCTTACATACAACTTTTCCTATCTATTTACCAATTTACTTATTTACTTACTTTTCTATTTATTTACTTTCCTGTCTACTTGCTTGTTTGCTGTCATTGAATGCACTAGTATCAGATAACATAAGAGTTGCTTCAAGCAACTCCAAAATTTTGGAACTATCAGCTCCAAAATTAAATAATAATTTACTCTATGATAGTCTACAAAATTATATTCCACTAATTGATCAAAATACTTATGTATAGTTTTTCATATTTTATACTGTTGTAACACTATATAGATTTTATAATTTCTCTTTCTTTTTTACAATAAAAAGCGATCATCAGGAGAGAACTTAAACATATCTTTAATGTTAGTAAAAAATAATATTTAGTCATGTCTCTAATTCATGATAATCACTTGTTATATATAATGTTATAGATCTTCTTAGTAATTATGAGAATGAGTTGCTGAAAAATGAAAATCTATTCAGCGATGACGCTTTACTCTCCGAATTGGATGAACCCATACCAATGGATGGTGACACATTTGATTTCTTGACTCTCAACAATACCGATGAATTTAAAGATTTTAAGGACCCAGGCATCCTTGAACCATCAAATGCAAATGTTATGATAACACAGCCAATAACAGATAACAGTCAACCAATCACTTGTGTACAACAAGATGCATCTGTACAAAATAGACTACAGAGAGTATCAGTAGCCTCAACACCTACAGTCTTTAACTCACAGTATACTATACCTCCAAGTGTAAGTTTTAATGTACAACCACCTGTTGTAACTCTGGCTCCAGTAGTAGCTCCCCAGCAAAGGCAACTGATTCTACCAGCTAAAATAATAAAATCAGAGTCTCTTGTGTATTCGAGAGGTACACAGGCTGTCACGTCGACTTCTTTGCCACATCAGATACGCACTCTGGTAAACACTGCAAATGGGACAGTTCTAGCTACTGGTACATAAAAGTATTCCTATATATAATACATGTTCATACATATTTATATGCGTGTATATATATATATATATATATATATATATATGTATATATATATATGTACGTATATATACACATATGTACGTATATCTACATGTATATCATAGTATTGATCACAGTTATCAAATACAAATAAGATTTGTATCAAGTATTAAGTATGTATCACATACTTCAAATGATTAATTAAATTATATGTGAGAGATGTATAATTTTTGTTGCACATTGTCTCATAATTCTATTTGATTTCAGGAATTCCCGTGGTGCTTGATACTGAGAAAGTACAAATCAATCGTCTGAACACGGCTACTCACGTGGGAGTGCCGAGGGTAAGGGAGGTGAAACGCAGTGCACATAACGCTATCGAACGACGTTACAGGACATCGATCAACGACAGGATCATTGAATTAAAAAACATCATAGTCGGTGTCGATGCCAAATTAAATAAATCTGCAATCTTGCGAAAAACTATCGATTACATCAGGTAACGAGAACGAAATTTTGATTTTTTACCGTACACGATATATTGATAAAAATGACTTCTAATAATTGTGTATTTGATTTTAGATTTTTGCAAAACTCTAATACAAAGTTAAAGGCTGAAAATTTGTCATTGAAGATGGCTGCTCAGCAAAATAATCTTCGCGATTTATTGACTTGCGGGGAACTGACACCTCCGCGCTCGGACTCCAGCGAGTCGTCACTCTCACCCGCATCTCCGCCACTGTCACCACCTTCTCCATCGTCTGTAAAAGACGATTCGGACGCGTTACAGAATCTACGTCCCATGACCGCGTCGTCCAATGGGGGTATGAGGGATCATACACGACTAACTCTGTGTGGATTTATGTTGCTGTTTTTGGCGTTTAATCCTCTCGGCATACTTGTAAACAATGTTGGAAAATTCAATTACGATTACCTAAATACGAAATTGGACGGACGAACGATACTCAATTATCAAGGTATGCAAAATGTTTCCTAGTTTATTTTGACATTTTCTAATTAGACAAATATTGCTAAAAATATTAATTCATTAAAGCTAATTTACACCAGCAATAATATTATTAATAACGTGTTTTCTAGCAATGTTACTAACAAATGTAGATTGTCATTTAAGATTGCTGAAAACAATTGTTTCTAACAAATTATAAAGCAATTAAATTGTAAACTTTGAAAATTACACTGTTAATTTTGAAATGAAAAATGTTAATAATATTTTTTTTCAACATTTTGGGAAAAACATATTATTAATAAAAGTTACTTATTTTGATAATATGCTGATAGCTTTGTCACTAATATTGTCAAAAATATTATTTCTGCGACTCACCACTTAGTAGTTTGAATCAAAGGATGCTGAAAGCAAATGTTATTGACAGGAAATTAAACTAGATATGTTTTAGTAATACTGTTAAATATTATATGTTAGTGTTATGTAAGAAAGGTTTTGTCTTGACTGATTGTACTATAAAAATTGTTCAATTTGTGTTGTAGCACATTTATTAATAACATTATTAATCTTTCAAAATTTTCCAACTTTATTAAAAACATTGGAGAATATTATGTTTGCTAATAACATTGCTATTAGCAATTTGCTATTTAATCAAGGTAAATAACTTTTGTAATTTTATCGATGTTTTCCACATTGTTGAAAGTATATTTTGTTAGAAACATTTGGTAAGTCATTTTCTAGAGAACAGTTTTACTAAAAATATTTTTATTGTTATTAATTTTTTGCTATTAACATTGTTACTACTTTTTCAATGTAAACTAGCCTTTACTATATAAATCATATATTTTCTATAATTTCTCCTAATTTTGACAGAACAATCAGAATCGGATAAACTATTATGGAGCAGTGTCATTCTCTGGGTTACCAACATGATACTTCTGGCAGGTTGTTTCTGTAAATTATTGCTATATGGTGATCCCATCTTACCCACGGACAGCAAAGTTTTCCTCGAGTTACGTCGTTGGAGACGTCAGGCTGAATTCAACATGTCTAAACACGAATACAATCAAGCGTATCGGGACTTACATCAGTGTCTGCAATACTTCGGCCGGTCTTTTCCATTGTCACGAACAGAGATGTGTCTGGCTACCATGTGGCAGATAGTGAGGCAAGTGCTTCACAAATTGTGGCTAGGTAGATGGGTGATGCAGATCAACAAATGGCTGTCAAATAAATCCGAACGGCAACAGGCGGAAATGTCCGCTATGGAGATAGCTATCGTCTACCAATATACACTTTGCCTTCGTCTGTCCGAGGGAACGAGGGGCACAAATCTGTACTTTGCTCTTTGCGCGCTCAATTACGCGGAGGCTGCCGGCGAGAGCATGCCGAAGCCTCTTTTGGCGGAAATCTACGTGAACACCGCGTTATGCCTTAAACAGTCCTTCTTCCCGTACATACACAAATATTATCTAGGCAAGGCGCGTGTCCTGTTGTCTTCGTGCACCGTACCGCCGAAATTGAAATGGATCATGACCGATGAAGGTGCGAAATTCTTGGCGTCTCACAAGTGGCAGTATAAGAATCAACGACCCGACAGCGAATTCACATCGCAGAGCAGCAAAGCGGATCCTGTGTCGTATGTGGCTCGCGCATACAGGGACCATCTATTCGAGCAATGTCTACGTTTACTGACCGGCACGGCCGGAGAATGTCACGCATCCTCCGTTCTCGAGTTAGGACAAATTATTATGGCCTCTGCGGGAGTGGACGCCTGTTTCCCGAGTACCGACCAAGTTAGCGTAGCGAGTAAGTCTAGAAGAACTTTGTTTGACGACAGAAAAGAGCAATTTTGCGTCGATACGTTTCCATACTTTGTGTATTTTCTCAGTTTTCACTTATTGAATATTTTAGAATTTGCAAACATTTCAAAGTTCAAAAATTTTTAGTAAATTTGATTCATTTTGCGTAATTTTTCTAAATGTTGGTCTTTAATCGCTAAAATTTTAGGGAATATGATCAATGGAGTGCAAGTAGTTTTGAAGTGTATGCAAATTCCTTTATAAATATAAACTTGTCTTTTTTAATACAGTCTGCTCTTTCATATTGCAGCGTGTGAAGATGAAGTTGGATTATGGTGGGGAGCAGTTATGTGCGTTGCTGCGAGTTGGAGATTAGGAGAAGAGAATTCTGAAGCTTGGAGCGTCGTGGAGCGTAAATTCCCTTATAAAAAGAACTTCCAAATCGGCGACAGTAATAGCAGAAGCAGCCCGTTACCGCACGCAGTGCTCAACGTTTTGCAGGCGGCGAAACACTCATCAATGTTAGATTCCATGCGTTTCATCGAGCAAGCTGGATTATTACTCGAACAATCGATGGTGTATTATCATTGCAAAGAACAATCGTCGCAACAGATCTTGGTGAGTTATCCGAATATTTTATAGTAGATTTTCATCGTAGATACGATCTGCCAACATTATATGATTCTGTTAAACGTGACATTACGTTGGCATCGAATTGAAATAGCAGTGCAAGAACACAATAGTCGTGCGAAAAATTTCATATTTTAACATTTCGAATCTTTAAAAAATTATTCAAAAAAGCCCAAAAATATATAAGCACCAAAATTACTTGATTTTTTTTAAGACTCTTGGGTATCCGTATCGTCTATCTCTTTTTTTTAATGACGTCAGAAGCGAGGAAACGCATGCTAAAAATTCTTGCGAAATATGTTTAGATAAAAAGATATATCCACAAAATGACATTTGCAATCGATTAAGCACACCTTTAAATATTATTCCGACCACTTTTCTTTTGCTCTGTTAATCAATAACTATAAATAACAATCAATCAATAACTATAAAATTAACGTGACATACAAACTTTTTTTTAACTAAATTTCTTCATTATTTTGTCATATTTTGCGATTACTTATTGATTGTTAGTACAAAGGGAAAGTGTACGAATTTTTTTTTGGAGGCGTGCTTAGTCGATCCCAAATGTCATTTTGTGAATATATCTTTTTATATCGACGTATTTTGCAAGGATTTTTAGCATGCGTTTTTTCTTTTCTGATGTCATTAAAAAGAGATGGATGATATAAAACTCCGAATACTCAGAAGTCTTAAAGGTCAGCATATAGAATGGTCTTGGATGCTAAATATATTAATTAACCACGTGTTAACTGGAATTTAATGCCAGATTTTTCTCAATCAAACTTTGAATTATACTCGATTTATTCAGAGTTTCATTAAAATCATTGTTTGAGATATATACCTTCATTATTCATTAGCAGCTCCAATTAACAGTTCTTGGAAAATCCACATTTTTTATCGCTTATAACTTAAAACTTACCGGAAAACCTCGACATTTACAAAGGAAAAGTTGATTGTTTAAATTAATCGTTTATCTGTTACAAGTGTGCATTGTAGTTGCATTGCATGAAATACAACTATGCAATACTTCTACAGTGCAACTCCTGTGGCAGGTCGCAGCACCGTACAGATAGTTGTGTGTGTTGGCTGTGAGTCGTGCGTGCATGTATATAAGCATCGTCACTCGCTATATTAATCTTAATCTTTGTTCTCGCCTTTTCAGCTTATTCAGTTATGGGTTTGCGATTGGCTCCTAGAATTACGTATGGCGCTATGGCAAGAATTGGACGCGGAATTAGACAGATCAGCTGCGAGCGTGTCACTCGCAAATTTCCAACGTGATTTGGCATGCCTGAGGCAATTGTCTCAACATATTCCAGTAAGTAGATTACTCAATTGAGATATAAATTGTCTCATTGTTTTATTTATTTATGCAGCCGGTGACAATAATTCGTAATTTATGTCAAAATAAAAAAACAATAAATATTTAGTGAAGCAATATTAATATATAATATTAATATATTTGTCACTGCGCGTACCATAGTTAGAAATAAGATCACTCTTAAAACATTCACTTCTTAAAACATTAAATATTTATAACATTAAATATTAATATGCAATATAATATTATATATGATATTGCAATAATATATAATGTAATTATTTTTTTATGGATATTTTTATATAAACTTTATAATATTTTATCCATTTTACATATATTAATACATAATTTGTTTATAAAATAATATGACTCGTAATCCTTACCATGAGTCAGACTCGTGTTTATTTTGTTTGGCTTGTAAATTGCATCACGAGTTTCATTCAATAACATAAGGCAAAAGTTAATAACATAAATTAATTTCCTAAAATTGGATAAATTAGATTGATAATAGCCAAGCCGATATGTGTATCAAGTAAATCCAAAATATATTCAGTTTGTAATATGTTTATTTTCAGTCTGTGCTCGCACGAGTATTTCTGTACGAGGCTGCGGCACGTATTATGGCCGGCGCGACACCAGTGAAAACTCAGATCCTATTGGATCGCAGTTCGCATCACAGGAATTCACGCTCTTCTATCATATGCGGCAAAGATCGATCGCAAGAACAGAGTAACGGTGAAAGGGAGCATGCTGTCGCGTTGTATTTAACCTGCAGGTACTTGCCGACGCTGCTGTTAGTGTCGCCTGGTCAACGTGACGGTATGCTCACTGAGGCCGCTAAAATGCTCGAACGTATGGGAGATCGAAAGCGCCTCTTAGAGTGTTACAAGTTAATGCAACAATTAAGTTCCACTATCAGTGTCAATTAATCATTGTCTGATAGTTATGTGCTTTTTACGTTATTAACAATATTATGAACATAATTTTGTATAATTATATAAAAAAAATGTGTATGTCAAGTAATTTAATATTGCTGTAATAATGGATCTTTTCTTGATTAAAGATTTTTGTAGAAGTTAGAGTAAGATACTCTAGATGAAAGAAAGAGTAATCGAATTAGATAAATATATATATATTTAATATATTTTTTTTATTTAATATAAATATAAATAATATGCTAAATAATATGTTAAATGTTATTATAGACATAAATACAAATCAGTTAAAATTCTATTTTTGTCTATTAATACAAAGTAAATCAAAACTGAAGTTATTTGATGAGTCGCATTTTATAATATCATAAGATTGAAATACACAATTTTTAATATGTAATCTAATAGTCATATTTGTAAAATATAAATTGGAGTTAGAAAAAACAATCGTAGAAAAACAATCTTTGAAATCAGATTTGGCAAAGAGAATATAAGATATATATATAAGATTAGGAATATAGAAAAACATAAGGAGTAAAACTTAAACCATAAGCAAATTTATTAACTTCAATGAATAATTCTTTTTACGATCCAAAAATAATAGATTTTGATTGATAAATTTTCCTTTTGACTTTGAATGTTCATCTTTATCAAACTTCTCTCACTCGTGATTAAGTATGGAACATATCCAAGAAATCGTAGACTACCTATATTATTTACAGAGAGAATTCGTGCACTATGGCCAATATTCTGAATCCTCTTTTATCGATTAAAGTGCCTTAAATGTAGCCTCTCAACCAATCAGGTAGTTCCTAAGCCTCTTTTAGAGGCACTTTTATAGATAAAAAAGGATTCAGAATATGGGCCATTGGCTGTGTAGTTCATCTGCACATTTCATAGAGGCGCTTAGTAAAATACCAATGTAGTTTCGGGGTCTTCGCGAGAGGTCTCTACTATCACTTCTGCAGCCTAAAGTCAGCCGCACACAATGCTTGTTTCGTGCTGGATTGCTTGCTAGATGGAAGTACTCTATTTTGATTGGTGCATTTCCATCTATCTTCAGGAATACACCAATCAGAACAGAATATTTTTATCTAGCAAGCTAACCTGCACGAAACAAGTATCGTGTGTCGCAGCCCATGATTCCTCTCTTCTTTATGTCGATGATTTCAAGTCCTTTCTTCCGTAACAGCAGGAAAACCAATTCGTTCTCGTAAGTTCTTCAATATTTAGATATTATGTTTTAAAATCTAGGTCTTGAATTTAAATATTTTTACATTATATATATTACGAGAAAATATGAACTTTTGTTCATTGATATACAGTTGCTTTCAATGTGACCGATAAGTACCAAATACCGAATTAGATTCATTCAATTGCACCACGTGAATCTTATGTTGCGTTTCTCATCGTGCGACTTTTATAAAAGTCTTATAAAAGTCCTTCGCACAATGACGAGAAAAATTACGTTTTCTACAATTTGAATTTTTTATAGCTTGAAACAATATCGCTTTTGATCCGTTCGAAACATGCAAAAGATTTATGATATCTTTTAGGTTAGGTATTTGACATATTAATTAAAAATTTCTATTATATCTTTATTACAAAAAATGTTCAAAGCAAAGATAAAAATATTTTCTATGTATTAAGGTGTAAACACATCATTTTTCTCAATTATATATGTTTGGTTTTTACTGCTTTTTATTTATCTATTTGACATTAAAATGCTGGGTATATATTGCCGTTAATCCTGCTTCTTAAGTTAAAATATGGAGATATGGAAAAATAAAAATAGTTTATTTCGCTTATGTCTATAGTCTAACCTTCTCACATCGGAAGTATCTCTCTTAAGATGATTCCGATGTAAAGGAATATAGGTGTAAACGAAATAAATTATTTTTATTTCTTACTCCAACTTGCGCTAAGCTTACTTCGCGTATTGTAGATGAGCCTTTAGCTACACGTGTACATTCGAGAGCGAAATGGTTTGAGCATTGTCTACGCGCCTATAGAGCTCATCAACGTCGTGCATACTGGTTTGTTAATTTTCTTTCATTAATTTCTTGAAATTTTACGTAATTATTTAAAAAATGATGCATACTTTTTTGCTCAGGTTGACATGTACTATCTGTACATATGAATTAGCTTATCTTGTGTCAGATCTGCATATTATAGAATAGTTATACAATATATATAATTAATCAATCAGTAACTGTATTAAATGGAAGTTAAAGCTTAGTGATTTTTTTTATCTATCAATGTTATAAAAATATACTCCAATCACAATCATTAAACCTGCTTATTAAACACTGGCCGTTGAACACAACCAATGAATTGTATGGCAAAAGTACCAATACATAAATATTTACTTATTATTTTGATTTTTAAATATGTGTATTAAAACTTTCAATATATAATATATATGTATACTATATTAGTACTATATTAAATATATATATATGTTCCATGTTAAAAATTAAATATTTGTATTCAAAGACGATAAGAATGCCCATTACACGATAAGAATGCCCATTATTAGCTATGTGTCCAAGCATTGATATTTTTACTTGATATTATATTATATAACATGCTTTTTTCATAAATATCTTAACATAAGAAACATTTGTCAAGATTAACTGCAATATATATCCAGCATTCTAATGTCAAATAGATAAATAAGAGGCAGTAAAAACCAAACGTACATATAAGAAAAATATGTTTACACTTTAATCATAGGAAACATTTTGACCTTTGCTTTGAACATTTTTTGTAATAAAAAAATTAAAGAAATGTTAAATAAATATGTCAAATATGAACATATGTGCCATGGAATGCTTCAACTTTTGCAACAGAGCTTTTCTTCCATCACATTTTAATGTCGATGGCAGAATGAAATTGCTCAACAACAAGCACTGAATTTCATTGACTACTATATAATGACTACTATATAAATCATTGCCAATAATCTCATAGTGAACTTTCTTTTTTATATCTGACATAAATTTGACATTTTTTGTTTGTTTAATTTCTCTTGATTTTTCAAATAATTTAATTAGAAATTTTCCATATCATGTTGAAGAGAATCCAAAGTAAGGACCAAAACATTCGATATTATTCATTAATTTCTCAATCACACTAATAAATTATATATAACGTTCTGTTACAGATTGAACTATTAAAATGACCAATTCAAAAGGTTATAGACGAGGTACTAGGGATTTGTTCTCACGCAAGTTCCGCAAACATGGAACCATCCCACTATCAACATACATGAAAGTGTATAAAGTCGGCGATATTGTCGATATTAAAGGCAACGGCGCTGTACAAAAAGGCATGCCGTATAAAGTATATCACGGTAAGACCGGCCGTGTATTCAACGTCACACCTCATGCCTTGGGTGTTATTGTCAACAAGAGAGTTCGCGGACGTATTATTGCCAAAAGGATTAACGTACGCATAGAACATCTCACACACTCCAAGTGCCGTGAAGATTTTCTAAAAAGAGTTAAAGAAAATGAAAGATTAAGGAAAGAAGCAAAGGAGAAGAATGTACGCGTTCAGCTAAAAAGGCAGCCAGCTGAACCATCAAAAGCACATATAGTATCAGGACGTGAGGCACCCATCTTGCTTGCGCCAATTCCTTATGAATTTATTGCATAAATATTGAATAAAGATGTTTTCAACATATAAATTAGTTATCTTTTATGTCTGTTATACAACACAACCCATAGTTGGAACTATCAAAACTGTTTTAGAAGTATTTATATCATACTTAAAAAGCTAATTTGTTTTAAATCTCCGATTGTAGATATGTAGTTGTATATATAACATTGGTAAAGAGGAAGGAAAAAAAAGAGTATTTTCTCATAACAATATTTTTATTCTCAGTCATATTTTCTTTACATTTGTATAGAATCTGATAGTGCTTCCAACGTTTCTATAACACTGGACACGCAAGTTATCGCAATAATGTAAATAATCAAGTTCACATTCTCTTCCAGACAGACTAGTACCAGAAATATAAATAAATATAAAACAGTACATATAAATTGCTCGCAATTTTTCTTTCAACATTAAACAATTAGCGGCTTATGGGCGAAAAATTCTAAAAAAATTTTGAGTTACTTTATAGTACAAACTATAAAGCTACAGCTAACAGCTGAGACTGTATCGCCACTTGCTATATTCTAGCAGCCCAAAATGTGATCAAACGTATTTATACACAATTTTCATAAATAAACCGATACGCCATTAGAACATTCAAAAATTCACATGCACTGTATTTTGTTAAAATATGAAATTAGCGTATAGGAGTGCTTAACTTCAATTACTATTTATACTAAACTTTAACTACAATCTCGCGATTGATAGAACAGAATGTAACCAGTTTCAGAGCTTTTCTGAATATCTGATGTGAGTCCATAAAAATCTTCTATAGTTGACGCATCGATTTTCTGAAAATTACAGAGACATTCGCATTTTCCTTCTTAAGTTCTTTCCTAGACGTGATAATATTCAAGAATATTACATAACTTTCGCATAATATACTTACATCGACCATATCATCGTCAAAGAGCAACCAGAATCCATGACTTTTAACTATAGAAATGTAATGCCCCCTGTTAGGCCCACTTCCACAATGTATCACAACTGCCACCAGATCATACAAACGATCTGGGTTTACAGCATCATCGCTCTATTGAAACGAGAGATTCCGTGATATAAAGTATGAAAATAGTTATAATTAGCGTACATAATAAAACTGAGAACGTCGAGTTTGTACATCAATATTATTACATTGTTTTATTGATTGAAAAGAACTTTCAACTTATTTAAGAATATTTGTTACATACTTTACTATGCATATTTGTGAGTACTATTTTATATATATTTTGGATATATTCTAATGTGATTTTTTTTTAGAGTTGAACGCCGTTTATTGAGAAATTGTAAACGAGGAAACTTACGGTATTGAAAAGTCTGAGCTCCAGTGGAAAGACTACCCTGTGTGATACTTTTATATGACGATTATACTGTTCTACATATTTAAACCTTTTCAGGTGCAACGCTAGGATCATAGGTAGCTTTTTAACTCTCATCCGTTTCTGCAATTTAAAGTGACAATTATAGTTTCGATAAAGTGCTTCGTAGCGGAGATTGATACTCGAATGTAACATCAGAGTTTTACGACTTGAATTTACATCATTGAGATTTTGTTATCAGACATTGGTTTAATACCTGAGCTTCTTGATAACTGCTGCAGTGATCGCATTTAAATTTGTTGTCGCTACACAGGGTCTCTGTATTGGAGAAGCATCTGAGGCAGTGTGTGATCGAAGTATTCTGGTCTACGTCGACTTGTAGATCAAAGAAGTCCTCGTCTTTGCTAGATACAGTCTCACAGTTAAGGCAGCGTGTTTCCGAGGTCAGTATCCCTTGAAATATTTCGTGAACCCAAGTAGGCTCGGGTGGTGAACCAGCATCCCCTGCCCCGCACTTACCACCAGCTGGCTTGCTCTGAGTTCTCTCTGCTAATGTGCCGGATTAAACATGTAAAAATATCTTTCAGGCAGTATTAATGCAACTGAACAAGCCAAAAAACTTACCCAGGATAATTTCATTTATATGGTTTATGAGGAAGTTCAGGAACTCGTGTGCATCTTGTTGCATGTAATTGTCAAATTCCTCTGAAAGAGTAAATAATAAAGTTACCAAAAGAAACATTACAGTGAAACATATATAAACAAGTAAACACACACATTCATATATTCTTTTCTTTTTTCATCACACTGACCTTTCTCTTTTCTCAATCTGGCTATAAACTTTTTCGGTGCTATAGAACCTACTTTCTTCTTTTGAGTTGCAATACTGTAAAACAAATCCGCTAAACATGTTAACAGTGTTTCCTTGGTTCGTTTGTTTCTAGCTTTGTATTCTAAAACTCTTTCTCTAAACGGTCGACAAAAATATAAAGCTTGCAACACCGAGTTGCTGTAACAAGTGTTACCAAACTGCAAGAAATATATTTTTATTAAGAATTTGGTAGAATCTACAAGTAGAAAGAATTTTTGGTTTTTTAATTAATTCCAATGACACACAAACAGGATATGTATTGATACTTACATTAACTAAACCAAAATAATGTTCATTAGGTGGAAACTGATCAGAACCAATATCTCTTTCCAATTGTGATATGTTTGCACCCTAGAATCAGAATTGAAGTTATTAATTATATCACTATGATTAATTATATTGTTATACATAAGCACATAATCATTAAGGTCCAGTTCCACATCTTACTTTAACCCATTAAAGGCTTATTCAGATCAATTTGCAGACTGCATTATTTATATACAAAGAAATTGACTAATCTAATGTAAAATTTGCCTCGTATAAGAAGCATCCTTTTAATGCATGAATCATGATTAATTGATTTTCCTACACATATAGAATATATGTTTATGCAAGTTTGGCTAAATAGGTTTTTAACAAGTTACCTCTAGTTAAAAAACGCTGTGAAACCAGGCTATGATACCAATCAGATTTAGATATTCCATAAAATAAGTTTACAAGTATGAAATATATGAAATTGCAATAGTATACTTAAAGATAAAATCGGTATTAATCATGATATCAGTCTGTAGAAAAGTATGAATGCAAGACGAGAAAATGCGAATGAATCGCTGTGTTAAAACTATGCGATTATTCGTGTCGAAGCTGTGTATTTCCACTTGCTCGCGACACAAGACACGCTTGAATGCATACTTACCATTTTACGATTCAGTAACACAAATGGAACACTGACAAGCACTTAGCACGGACTTCAACAGCGGCATAAACTCCATCGTATCGCGGACTTACAGAGATTTATCGCCTAGAGTGTTTCCATCGGAGGGATCATTACAGCACCGATTTAATAGCGCTTCCCGGCTCGTTCCACGTGTCAAACGTGACGAACGTCACCGCGACGTTTTGTCCGCGAGCAATTTCGACAATTCCAAGATCGAGAGTCGCGATCGCGCAACAATTGCGCAGCACGGCGTGTTGCGCTTTTTCTAACGACCGATAAACTAGAACGAACCTAACTCCGTTCTCTCGTACCAAGCGCGAGTTCTCCGCGAGTAGCTAAACGTACACCTCGAGGCAAAAAAGTATGAACACTTTGGTCTCGATGCGCTTCGAAACGTATCCAGTATCCAGTAAGAAAATTTATCTCTCGAGAATTACTCAAAAATGTATTCTCCTATTGGCTATCAACTGTATTCCGAAATACGCCAAGATAGAAGCATTCAAAACTTCTGTTTCCGACTGTATCATCAGTTCATCCGCTTCTGTAGAGCTATGTTCCAAAATCCTACTCTGCGAGTAAAGTAACGTTTAGAGCCGATTGTTCCAACTTCTTGGTAAATTACTTGACAGTTAAATCATGTGTCTGTTTCTGTCTAATTTGAAGAAAAAATAAAAACAGACATATGATTTAACTGTCAGATAACTTATCAAGAAGTTGAAACAATTAGCCCAATTGTTATGTAGCCAATGTAGCCAATCTGTTGACATGTTCAGTTTCATTTTCAATATATGGCTGAGCACACTGGACAGTTGAGTAGCTCTACGCCATTACTTAATATGTTGACATGTGTCGTACGACAAGCTTGTCGGACGTTCTAATTGGCTGTCGGATAGAAAATTTCTGGGATACTTGGAGGAAAAGTTAGGAATTTTAGGAAAATTCTATCTATTAGCCAATCGACGTCCGACAATACTTGTCGTATGACGTATATAATATGGGAGCGGTGCACTTAGCACGGTGCATTTGGACACAGCCAATCACAGCACCGTGTACTTAGAGACATTTGTAGGGTCCCTTGGAACAGCGACTTGTGATTGGACTGTGTCCAATTGCCCCGTGTCCAACTGATATACACCCATATAATATTTGCGCAATGCAAACCTAACATATAGAAACGAAAATTGGAGATCAGGCTATGGTTGGCAAACCTGTAATCAAGAAAGAGAGAGAGAGAGAGAGAAACCTACATACATATGTCAAAACACAATTCGTATCTCTTTCACGACTCAGCTGACAAATTTTATTCCATCAGCTGTAATTTTGCAATAGTGACATGTTACGAATTTTTAACGTTGCAAGTTACAAATGTCCTTTCAGCTGTAATTTACACTTAGCGGTAAGCTGCAACGATTGATCTTCATTAAATAAAAACATCCGGAGGCAAATATTTTCTCACTTTGCTGAATTTTATTTTTCGCAGTTTATAAAATTATATAATTATTTGACCGGTTGTCCTTTGTAATAAATATATTTTGTATCGCAGTGCGTGCGTGCTTCAACGGAAAGTAACAAAGGTTTTTCGGAAAAACTAGCAGATGGTCCGCAATTTGAGGACTTCCTCACAAACGATGTCAAGAAATATGATGGAAAGTTGAAGTTGAACAAAGGCGAGTCAGCACGACTGAGGTTACCACCATGGTTGAAGACTGAGATACCTATAGGCAAAAGTTACAGCAAGATAAAAGCACAAATGAGGCACTTGCGTTTGAGTACAGTCTGTGAGGAGGCCAGATGCCCAAACATTGGAGAATGTTGGGGTGGAGGCAGTCATGGTACAGCAACTGCTACTATCATGGTTTGTTTAATAAACCATTGGTTGCATATTGCATATTTCATTATTTCATTCAAGCATAACAGATTTTTTAAAAACAATACGAATAGCATTTTCATGTTTGTTCATTTGATTGTTCATTAAAATATCTATAGTCAAGACAGTAATAATTAATTGCCTAGCTAATGGGGGATACATGCACTCGTGGTTGCCGTTTTTGTTCTGTGAAAACTGCACGAACACCACCACCGTTGGACATAGAAGAGCCAGTTAATACTGCCACTGCGATAGCAGACTGGGGTTTAGACTATATTGTTTTAACATCTGTGGATCGTGATGGTTAGTTGTCTATATTGCTTTTATAAATAATAATATGATATATGATATATTATAATAATATGATTGGAGATTATAACATATTAAAAGTACATACTTTATAATGTATGTTGATTATTTCAGATTTAAAAGATGGTGGAGCTAGTCATATTGCATCTACTGTTAAGGAGATTAAAAAAAGGTACCTTATGTGTGGATAATGCCTGAAAAGTTATAATTTTGCATTATTGTTGGGTTTCATGAAAATAATCTTTGATTCATATACTATATATATGCGTGATATTTGTTAAAAGGACACATTTGACAATGTATATTGCGTTATAGAGATGTTTCATTGTAGGAGCAATATCTTGGTGGAATGTTTGGTGCCCGATTTTAGAGGCGATGAAGATTGTGTCAGTACGATTGTCAATTCTGGATTAGATGTGTTTGCGCACAATATCGAAACTGTGGAACGTTTAACTCCATTTGTCCGGGATAGACGCGCTCGATACAGGTATGACTGCTAATGTATTATTTTATTGATTTTATAAAATACGCTGCGGCAGTTTTGTTTATACATAATTTTGACACAACTTTCGACAAAGTAGTATTTTTTTGTATAATAGTACGTATCCAATACAATAATGGTTAGATGTTTAGAAATCTCTTTGATTGTAAAAGAATAGCTGTTTTTCTGTATTTGTGAGCTTTATTTATATACTAATATTTATGAATAGAAAAAAACCAGTGTGTCGCTTTAGGCTATCTTATATATATATATATATATATATATATATATATATATATATATATATATATATATATATATAT